ATTTTGAGGATTTTTGTTATCTGTGCGTAAAAAAAAAAAAAAAAAAAATCTTAACCCTAAAACAGATAACTTCTCGCAGTTAGAATTCAGTCAGTGTTCATCACTCTGTAGGTTTTTATTGTGAGCTGAATTATCCCCAGATGTCTCGTTTTCTCCAAAACAAACAGACCTGGTGATTTACACTGGTAAAAACACTGAATAAAACAGTTTAATGTTACAAATCATTTTTTCTCCGAAGCACGTCGCCGACAGGCTGCTGGCCCAGCACCTCACAATGTGCGCTCACCTATTTTCTCTGATAACCTACAATCTAGACACTCCGACAGTTTTCACCAGGAGCCAAATCATCCGCAGAGGTGACTTCCTCTCCAAAACAAACAGACCAGGTGATTTAAACCAGTAAAGACACTGAATAAGCAGTTTCACATAAAAAAAGCAATATGTTTTCCCAATTTGTGGACATTTTCAGCTGCTGTTCTTCATCTTCGAGTTAGCTGCTAACTACTATTAACTGCTTTTTAAATCTCCCAGTGCTGGGTAGCACAAATAACACATCACCAAAACATCACACCTGTTCCCTTCACGATCCTGTCCTGCCGCCTGTCCTTATTGCACAGACGTCGATTTGGCTCGGTTACTACCTCCGCTGCCAGCTTAAAAGTGCATCAACTCTGTCCCCCATTCCGTGATTGTACCTTTTATAGAGAGCCCTGAGGCGGAATAATGGTACAAAATTCCTGCCTTGAACAGGCAGCGTAAAAGGGGCAAATGTTTCTCTGATGGTCTTTGGCTTGTTGCAGACACGCCGCTAGCCCAGCACCTTTCTGACACTTTTCAGCTCATCACTGAGGGACTCCTAACAACAGTAGCTGGTGTGAAAACATGAATGACCCTGGCTAGAATCAGTGTTTACTTTGACTGTTCTGGGCTACTGTAGAAAGATGGCGGTGCAACATGGCAGACTCTGCAGACAAGGACCCAGCTCCCTATGTAGATATAAACAGCTCAATCAAAGGTAACGAACACACGTGATTTTTACTTTCAGGTAATTATACACTAAAGACAACATATTCATTATATTATATTCCATTTCTTCCCCTAAATCCTACACACTGCACCTTTAACGAGCTAGCGTATGAAATTATACTCATATTCAGCTAATCCTGACTTTGGTGGTGACCCCCCGGAGCCAAGTCATAGAAACCTGGAGAATCACTCCTGCAAAGATCAGAGATCAAAGCTGCACAAAAAGGAGAAGAGATGACAGTTTTGCCTCTGAATCAAATACCTGCAAGCTATATCAAGCTGCAAACTTATTTTAGTAAACACAGTAAATTGAATGTGAGGAGATAGATAAATAAAAAAGGCTCGCAGACAAATAAAGATGAGAGTTGGAACCTTGCATACTGCCTTTCAGCATCTGAGGAGCTCGCCGGTTCAAGTAAACAAAATACACCACAAAAGATATTAGGGTATACAGTAAAAACCACACACCAGCCTACACACGCCGAGGCACAAACACACACTCCTGCGCGCTGAATGCGAGATATTCCGAGAGGCGTAGAGGCGAGGAACGGAAGGAAGGGAGTGTAGAGAGGAAAGAGAAAGCAGGAGAGAAAGAGAGGGAGAGAGAAAGAGCGCATCCTGGGATGCAGAATGCCAAATACAGTGAGATAAGAGTTAATGTATCCCCCCCAGCCCCCTCTTCATCCCTCCCGTTTGGCTCTCTCTTTCTTCCTCCCTCCATCTATCCCTCCCTCCCTCCCTCCTACTCCTCCTCCGCCTCCTCCCCGTTTGCTTTGAGGGATGAATAATAACTGCTGCTCTGAGATTTCCTCCCTCGTTTTTCAAAGCGCAGAACGGAGATGGGGAAGGTCTGCCTGGCCCGGGTTGCGCGTGCGGGCTCGCACACACACAAAAGCGGAGACACGCACTGACGCACGCACTGGAGCACACACAGACGCGCGCACACACACCGTCTTGTTCTCGCTGCTCGCCTGGAGCAGGGAAATCAGATCTCCTCCAGAGAAAGGCGGGGGGGCTTAGGCGCTGTAGGGAGCCCATACAAAAAATCCCCTGCAAGCACGTATAGGCCTATACACACCACAAAACCCACACGCAGCATCGAGGGAAACCAAGAATAACTAGGAGGATGCGAGCTGCCTCCTGGAGCGACAGGGTGAACTCAAGGTTATAGACACATCACCGGTTCAAGCACCGCCAACAGGGCCAATCCATCCACGCTGAGGCACTGCTCTGCGGGGCACGTAACCCATGATTGCTCAAAGGCAACTGGCTCTCCTGCCATGTGCCTTGCTTTGGAGGTTTAAGAGAAAGCTTTAAAAAGAGGAGGGTGGGTGGGGACACTAAATGGGGATGCTGGTTTCTCCCTGCTTGGTTTCAAAAGGGGTAAAGGGAGGTAGGGGCTGTTTAAGGGGAGCGAAAAGTCCTCATGAAAGACGAGAAGGCTGTCCAGGAGGAGCACTTGCACATCAAGCCACGACGCGCCACAGAAATCAGCAGCTAGGTTCCGAGGAGAGGGCTTATTTATGCAAACAGGCGTACAAGCGCGCACAGTAGGAATCTAGACAAGCCTTGTAAACAAACACACACCCACACCATAAAGCACACAGGGGAGGCGATGTGAGAAGCAGACTGTGAAAACTCTAGTCGTGCCCGGGCAGTGCTTCCACACACACACACACACACACACAATCACACACACGAGGAGCTGTGAGAGAGAGAGACTGAAGTGGTGGAGAGGGAGGGAAAAGAAGGACAAAGAGAGAAGGAGGAGAAGGAGGAGGGATAAGTGCGAAGGTGTGAGTGTCTGGTGCTACTTTTGTGTTGCCAAATGAGGGCAAGAGAATGAGCGAGAGAGAGATGTGTACGGTAAAGTGATGTATAATGACTCGTCAGTGCATGTGTGTGCGAGCGCGGGCGAGGAAAAAGTAGGAACGCTTTCCCATTTCAATTCGCAACAGCTGGTGTCGAATTAACACATTTACCAGTGTGCATTTGGAACAGATTAAAATTGTGTGTGGCGTGCGACTGTCTGTGTGTGTGTGTGTGTGTGTGTGCGTGCTTGTGTGTGTGGTAGCAGATGAGGACCAAAAACAAGAGTGTGTTTGTGTGTGGGAGTGTCTGTGTATTAACGCAATGGATCAGGGCAGGGAGAAATGGCAGAGAGGGAGAGAGGGAGAGCAGCAGCAGGGAGGGATGTAGAGCTAGCGAGCGAAGGGGGGAAAGAAAGAGGGAGAGAAAGAGGGAGAGAAAGAGCTCTACCCGACGGCTTTAGCTGCTGCCCTGGGCCGTCTCTCTAAGCCCTGTTTAGGAGGCTTTGGAGCTCAGATAGAAATAATCCCCCACTCAGACACACACACACACACACACGCTAGGCATGCACACACACAAAAATAAAAAACGCACACACAAACACACGGGAAAATGCTCACAAACAGACGCACGCTAGACAAAAAAAAAAAAAAGCACACACTCAAGTCGGGGTGGACAAAACAAGCACACACGCACACGCAGCAACAAGCAGCGACAGCACATTCGCCTTGACACGAAACCAACCACCCGCCTACACACACACACACACAACACACACACAGAGGCACGCACAGAAACACACACACTGAGGCTGTCTGCCGTGCGCTGCTTCCGCACGGCAGAGCACAGCGACATCAGCACGGCACCGTGACAAACACTTTACACACTCCAGCACTCAGCAGAGGGGAGGGAAAGGAAGGAGGGTGAGATGGAGGAAGAGGGGAGGAGGCGGAGGAGGATATGAGCCAGGGGGGAGGGAGGTGAGTGAGAAGGGGAAGGAGGGAGGGGAGGCTAACAAATTAATAGGAGCCGGAGATATATACAGCCAGCGCTGCTGAACGGGGGAGGTGGCGGCGGCGGCGGTGGCGGTGGTGGTGGTGGAGGAGGAGGAGGACGAGAGAGCAATTCATTCCCGTTTTCTCCTCGTTCGCTCTCTGGAGAAAGGCAGAGCAGAGCGGAGCTGAGCGAGAGCGTGTTTGCTCAAGAGAAGGGGAGAGGAAGACAGAGAGAAAGAGAGGGCTTTGTGTGGCAGAGGAGAGGAAAAGTGGAGGAGGAGGTGGTGGTGGTGGGGAGGTGACATAAAAACACAGAAGGAGAAAGACAGAGCGAGGAAGTGTGGAAATAAAAGGGGGCTATAACAAAGACGATCTGAGCGTAAAAGGAGGAAGAGAGGAAGAGAAAGTGACATTAAGGGAAGGCAGGAAGGAGGGGAAGGGGGTTCGGAGTATGCACAGAGTGCAGTTTGTCATCTTCATCAGCCGACAGTTGGGGCACAGGAGGGAGGAGGAGGAGGGGAGTGGAATGGATGGAGAGGTGAAGGAGGAGGAGGAGAGGGCGAGGTGAGGGGAAGAGAAGGGAAGGGGGGATGGGCGGTGTTTAAGCGGAGCCTTTGAGAGATGTTGACCCTGTAATTGACCTGTGTCTCCGCCTACATCGCCGTGGCGACAAGCAGAGCCGCTACAGCTAATCACTTAGTAACCCTGACCTGTCAATCACACCGGGGAGGGAGGGAAGGGAGGGAAGGGAAGGAAGGGAGCAGTAGCAAATGAAAGAAAGAAAGAGGGAGACGGAGGGTGAGGAAGGGAGTGAAGGAGTAATAACAGCACTGGGGTTATCATTTACTGGACCACCCGCCTCCTTCCACCAACCCTCAGCCTGACGAAGCCCTGGTTTTAAAAAAGCCAATAAAATGCTCAATGCCTCCAACACACACACACACACACACACACAAAATCTCCTTTAGTGCTCATGCTGCTACAGAGAGCACGAGGCTTTCTCGGAGTTCAGATAAGAGAGAGCAAGAGATGAGAACGGGAAAGGCAGAGTGGCGAGGAGGGGGAGGGAGGGAGAGGGTGACGGGCTGAGAAGAGATAAGATAGCAGAGTGAACATGCAAATAAAACAACAGAGCGTGGAGTTTATGTGCCGTTTAAGTGTGTGTGTTACCTGTTGATGAGGGGGAAGATGGACACCAGGAGGTAAACGGAGGGGTACCACTTCAATGGCTTGATCTCCTCAGCCAAGGAAACCTGGAGGGGGAGAGCGGAGGTAAAAAGAGACTACTGACCCATGTGGAGAAACTGAATTGCTCACATTAACACTCTCAAACACACACACACACAGACACACACACACACACACACACACAGAGTCCGTGTTGTAACTGCAAGATCAGTGCACCGAGGCAAACAACAAAGGCCAATTAAACCCTAATAAAATATTAACCTGCTGATAATACGCAATATCCACACACAGTTATGAGAAGAAACAGGGATTCCAATTAAACGGGAGAGCCAATACTTCTTTTTTTGCCCTAATGTGAACGGGGGATGAATTCAGTATCTCGTGGACAAGCAGACAAGCAAGGCAGCAAGACAGAGAGATGCGGCAGCAGCAGCTAAAAGTCGAGGAGGGGGAGAGCCTGGCGGTGGAGAGCTTTTACAAGCCGTTATCTAATTCCCCGGAGAGGAGGACTCTTGCGCCCGGAAGAGGCTGAGAAGCGCGGCCCCTGGATCGATTTTCTGCGCTGTGCTGTTTTTCCTCCCCTCCTCCTCCTCTTCCTCCTCCTCCTCCTCGTCCTCCCTCTCAACCACCACCACCCCCCCTTAGGCTAGGACGCAGTAGCAGCGCAAAGCCTCCCTCTCTTTCTCTTTTTCTCTCACACTCACACACACACACAGTCGGAGCCAGGAGGCAGGCCCACAAGCTCTGGTCTCTACCCCCACATGCTGGAAATTAATTACTCACCAGAAAGACCCCGAGGCGTGCAAGCTCTAACGCAGGCATTTTAAACAATTCAAATGAAAATCATGAGAGCCCCCCGGTGGTATTTTATCTTATGTGTGTGTGTGTGTGTGAGTGGAGGGGAGGAGGGGGCATTGGATATAAGAGCCAAGTTTCCACCGTGTAACGTGTGCTGGCTGTATGTGATCAACTGAGGGGAAGACCGGTCTGTAACAGCATAAACCCAAAGGCAAACATTAAGCTTAGCCCTATTAATGTCTATCGTGATGGGAAGCTCTGACATCACTGGCCATGTCGAGCTCTGCCTGTTGTCATCTCAAGTGTGTGTGTGTGTGTGTGTGTGTGTGTGTGTGTGTGCATGGGATGAATGTGTCATTGGGAGAAAGGAAAAGGGCAAGCCAGGAGCCTGACGGATGCTAAGTGGAAAAGGAGATTTGCGGGTGTATGAGGCATTGTGGGTCTATTTCTCGGGGTGGGGGGGAGGTTCCAGAAATTGGGTTTGAAAGAATACACAGAGCCAGTAATCTCAGATAAAATTTAGGTGAGGTGTAGAGGCAGGCATTTGAGGAATTTCAATGCGCAAGAGACAGGATGTGGAATAGAAGGAGGAGGAGGAGGAGGAGGAAGAGCCCGGCTAAAGAGCCTGGTGTTTTTAATCACAGTCCTCCCGTGTCAGAGGCCCCTGCGCTGCTCGGGAAGCAGAGGGGAATGAAACCGTAATTATGTGCGGCGGGCGCAGCGGTCCCGACGTTAATGACGCACGCTAGATTACAGACGGTTATCAGGGAGCAACCCGTCCCCTTCACCACCCACTGCACTCACCCTCGCTTGCGGAGAGGAAAGAGAGAAAAAAAAAAAACCTGCGCTAAAAATAACAGCATCAGGTTTTCCCAAATGCACTTGAACATCAAATTCAAGGACTTTTCAAAAAGGTCTTTTCAGAGTGAAAATCAAGGACTAAAACTTGTTTAAAATTTCAATAAGAAATGTTTTTCATGCATGTTTTGCTGCAGTATTAAGACAAATATCCATCACAGGGTTTTTTTCTTCATGATGAGAGTGTATTTGTAATTTATATTGTGAGGCTATGTTTGTTTTACTGCTGCAACTTTCAGTCTCAACATTTAAAAGGTCCAGTGTGTAGGATTTAGGGGGATATGCTGGCAGAAATGGAATATAATAAGTTGGTTTGCTTTAGTGTATAATTACCTGAAAGTAAGAATCATCACGTAGTTGTTACCTTAGGATGAGCCATTTATATCTAGATAGGGAGCAGGTCCTCTTCCAAGGCGTCTGCCATGTTGCACCACCATGTTTCTACAGTAGCCCAGAACATGCAAACCATACACTGGTTCTAGACAGGGCCATTCACATTTTCGCATCAACCACCGCATAGAGTTCCCTCCGTAATGAGCTGAATAGCGTGATTTTTTTTTAAAGTGAAACTGCTTTATTCAGTGTTTTTGCCGGTTTAAATCGCAGAGAGGAAGATTAGAGAGGAAGAGATATCTGTGGATATTTCAGCTCTCCGTTAAAAACCTCCCGAACGTCTGGATCTGCGGTTACCATAGAAAAAAGGTGAGCAGGCATTAGCAGTTGCTGAGCTAGCGGCCTGTCTGCAACAAGCAAAACAGCATCAGAGAAACATTTGCCCCTTTTACGCTGCCAGTTCAAGGCAGGAATTTCGGGCCAATATTTTGCCTCGGGGCTCTCTATAAAAGGTACGATCTCGGAATGGGGGGACAGAGTTGACACACTTTGAATCCGGCAGCGGAGGTTGTAACCGAGGTAAATTGATGTCTGTGTAAAAGGGGCAGCCGGCAGGACAGGATCACGATGGGGACGGGTGTGACGTTTTGGCCATGTATTATTTGTGTGACCCACCATTGGGCGCTTTAAGAAGTTAATAGTAGTTAGCAGCTAACTCAAAGAAGAAAAGCAGCCGAAAATGTCCACAAATTGGGAAAACACTGAGGTCTGGGAGCTCCTTACACTCAGAGCAGAGGAAGAGCTCAGCCGCTATTTACCAGGGACAATAACTGGTTGCTATTGTCATGTTAATACCACTTATATTGTTTGAAGAAATGCTGCGGATGTGTCTAGAGGCCGACACTGATGTGTTACATGTCAGGCCCATCACACATCCTTTGCTTCTGCTTTATAGCATGACCGCTGTATAAAAAGGGCTACTGATTTGTAACTTAAAATTGACTTGTTTAGTGTTTTTACTGATTTTAATCACCTGGTCCGTTTGTGTTAGAGAGGAACGGACCTCTGTGGATAATGTGGCTCCCAGTAAAAAAAACACCCTGAACAATGAGCACAAAGGGAATCCCAACCACGAGTTCACCCTCGGCCCATGGGAGAAGTTTCAGCTGGTTGCAATCTGCAGTCCTTACCGCTAGATGCCACTAAATCCTACACACTGCTCCTTTAAGCCCTCTTGGATGAGAAGTGTCTGAAGAAAAAGAAAAATGGATATCTAAACATCTACAATATCATGACAGCTAAGCAAACTCAAGGAGATACAATTGAAAGCTCCAGAACGGCTAGAAAATGGCACTTTTGGTGAGACTGTTCTGACGACTAGAGTGCCATATTTTAATTATTTTCTTTAATTCTTTCTTCAAATACTTTGGCTGCTAATTTGTTTTTCTTGAATGCAGAAACAAAGATTTTCAGGGACAGCTGAAACCCAAAAGCATCCTGTCAAGAAACCAGGAGTAATGCAGAGGGCTCAAAGCAACACTCTTTACGGCAGCCGGGGAGTCGATCCCTACAAAAGGAGGTGTATGTGTTTTGTCAAAGCCACGTGTCGCACTTGAGAGCCCTCGAGAGCCCTTGAGAGACAAACCCAACTGTCCTTGCAGCTTAGTCATAGTTAGGATGTTCTTCAGGATGTTGGCGACATGTGAAAAGTAAAATTTGGCACTTCAATAAGAATACAGAAGTAACACTCACCAAAAAAAACAAGGTTGTGAATGCGGGCACACACACATATTCAGACACACGAGTAGACACATTGCATTGTGACTCAAGGCAAAGCTTGTGTGGATCAGTAAACAAACACCCGGGGAAGATAACGAACAAGCAGCTCGCTGTTTGCTCAGCCAGCTTTGTTGCTACCCGACGGGACTGAGCTGCTGTGTGTGCAGTTGTGCAAATGTGTTTAAAGGTGTGTGTGTGTGTGTGTGTGTGTGTGTCTGTGTGTGTGTGTGTGTCTGTGTGTGTGTGAGAGTGTGCACGGCCTGACTTAAACACCCTCTTCTGAATATCCTCCTGCTGACCTGTGCTGCTGCAAGACCTTGTGGCGCTCGTTTGTGTGTGTGTACTCATGCATGACCACAAACAAATTGCTTGGGACACACAGAGATGTGTCACAACCATGTGACTGACGGCCCTGATAACTGCCAACGCTAGTTATGTACGTCATCACTCCAGCCAGATACACACACACACACACGCACTGATAGCGAGGCAGGGGGATGGTGCCAGGCTGAGTCAGACAGAGAGGGAGAGGAAAAAGATCAAGAATGGCAAACGCAGGAAACTACAGGCGTGATCACAAAAAATGAGAAGCGATCATGTGTGTGTGTGACACAGTTACAGAGAACATGTGAGGCGCAGAAGGAGGGAGATGTGGCGAAGTGAATGCAAATAACCAGAGCCAGCGGTCTTCAGACACCCAGCAGGATTCGCTTTCTCTAGTTTACACCTGCTGCTACACACACACACACACACACACACACACACACACACGCACGCACACACATACACACACACATATGAGCCAGAGCTCGCTGGCTTGGCAAGCACAATCGGGGAGGCTGTTGTTGTTGTTGTTTTAAAGCATCGCAGCGCGTGCATAAACTCTCATAAATATTCATGTCCATGAACCTGGCTTGCTGCTTTATTCATGCTGGGTATGAGTACAAGAGTGAGAGAGACGGAGGGAGGGAGTGAGTGAAAGAGAGAAAACGAAAGAGAGGGGGGAAAAGAGAGCATGAGCAAAGAGAGAAAAACAGATGGAAATGAGGAGAGTGACTGGGAAAGAGAAATACGAGGAAACGGAGAGTGTGATAAAAACCACTGCTAACTTATTTACACTCTGCGCTACACATAGCAATTAGCCCACATCAACAACGTGTGTGTAAGTTGCTGCCACACATTCATGCACACACACACGTCACTTGTGAGGGTTACGCCAGTTCAGTGTGCAGTAATTACATCTGCCACTTAGGGGCAGCATCTACATAACCTTAACCCTAACCTGCCCCCACCCCCCACCCCCCCCACACACACACACCTTACCCTGTGGGGTGGAGGTGTGACAACAGCAGAGAGACAGAGGAAGGAGGGGTGAGGTAAGGAAAAGCAAGACAACGAGGCACTGCTGCTTTTAACTTTTCATGAGTAGCGCTGTGACACTGACCACCTCTGTGGAGGATTTTAAGGCTTTACATTTTAATGACTCGGCGTCTCCATAGTTATGCATGATGTGTGGGCAGCTGAGGGGTTTAGTGTCTTGTTGGAGGACACTTCAACAAGATGCAGCGTCTGTAGCCGGCAGGCCAGATGAAATGATATAGTCCGAGAGAAGAAACATTTTCCAGTGCGAGCATTTTACCAGCAATCCATTATTTAATTTAAAGGGGCACTCCAGCGATTCAGTGGTGCACTTCCATAAAGTTATGGGACTCACAAGAGACACGTTTCAAAAGAATATTTAAATCAAAACAGGAAAGGCCAAAACATTTTTTAGTGAAGCACTGAAGTCATTCTACATTTCCCACAATGCAACCAATAACATCGTTTTGTTAGACCCCTCTTGCCCTGTTTCGACAGGCTGAGCATTACCCCCCATGACTGAGGCTCCATCCAATACACTTTTACTTTAAAATGAGTAACTATTGCTACATTTATACCAAGTGTCCACATTATTTAATCATTGGAACCCAAAATCGTAGACATTTGAAAAGCTGTTGACCCTGTCTTAATTCTAAAATTCCGGGGTTGCATTTTAGTCTGGACGAGCGGAAACGTAGACGTAGACATAGAAATGTTTGTTTCCCAATTGGGTCTTATCAGTCACGATGTGTCAAGCCAAGTCATTAAAGCTAGGCCTAACTTACATACCTTTTGAAATTTTAACCTTCTTGTGTGGGTACACCTTTCCCATTGACATGGCATCCTCTGGCAATGGATAATACTAAATGATGGATAATCTAATATGTCACCGTATTCGCTTTGCTTTGTTTTCTGTTTTCCGCCTCCTTGACCACCTTATAATCATGTGTTACTTTGAGTAGCAGTTCCACCTCATCGTTGGTCCAAGCAAAGAAATTGCTGGTTTTACTTTTCGCCGTTTCCTTAGTATTTTCTGTAACTCACCCGTTTACAATGGCACACGCATTCCCAGTGTTCGTGAATGGTAATGTGATATGCATTTTCAGCCATGTTATATGGACCATAGACTGTATATAAAAGGTGGACGCCATGAAAGCTCCCTAAAAGTGAAGCCAAAACATCTCCATCGCCCAGTGATGGCTGGCCTCAGTACCAGCCCCTCAAAGTTAGCATACAGGACATGGGTTAAACTAAAACCTCAAAGTACTCATCAAATTAATTTTTCCCAAAGATGGTTTCTGCCATGTAAAGTAGTTCTTCTCACACTGATGCATGCTCAAGTGTTCATTTTTCTTATAAGTTTGGTTTTAATTAGTTATTTGCTGCTTTAAAAAGGGGGTTTGATGTCATGATTGACAGCTAAAGGCCCGAACATACTCGGGCGGAACGTACGCGGAACGGACTCCGCGGAGGCCCGCGCGGACTCAAAGCAGACGTCTGCAAGCCCTGTGCGCGCAAAGCTCAGATTTTATGACTGCGCGGACTCCTTTCCGCGCACCAGTGACTGCTCGGCATGTATTTTTCACATCGCGGGGATTTTTCACGGACATTTTTACAGGAAACTACAACGAGGAAGTGTGCTCGACTATGGAAGCCAGAATGACTGCGGACATTCCTCGCGTAGTCTGTTCTGCGTATGTTCCGCCCGAGTATGTTCGGGCCTTTAGTGTGCCAATCAGCGTGCTCGCAGTCAGTGGGGTTGTTCAATATTGATATGTTTATAATGTTTATAAAGTGTTGCTGATGCATCTGTTATGTCGCACTAGAGGCCGATGCTGTTGGGTTACATGGCACTCCCCCAGCCCTCTTTTGCTTCCTCAAGTTACATACTGGAGCGGCAGGATGCTACCATTATTTGGTTCTGTGTAAAAATGCAAAAGCAGCATAAAGAGGGGACTGCAGCACCCCCTGGGCCCCACCACTGTAACCTAGACACACTAAACACATTAAAATGAATGGGAGTGGCATTTTCGCCTCAACACTGGATTTGGTGTGAATGCAGCCTAAAACATTCATGCCACGATTAGCCAGCTGTGTGGAGTTGAGAAAGGAACCAGGGTTTGGACTTTACTTTCAAGCTCTGTTTTTTCATCCTTACACAACTCTTTCTGTCACTTTTCATGTGAACAACCAAGTACAACACTGTGAATGCCTTCCAGGAGAGACTGTGTGAAAATGTGCAGCATTTTTAAATGATATCATGTCTCCTTCCTCTCTTTGACAGCCTGCTTTTGAAACCGCCTTCCAGTGTAGTTGTCGGGCTCAGGTAAAAACACTTTTGATATCTGTCGTGGTCCAGCAACACGTTTTATAAGCTAGTTCTGTGTGAGCATAACCCGACACAAGTAATATCAGTGGAGAACCCCTTTAAGCTAAGAGGAAAAATGCATCATCGTTTACAAAAGTAATATGAATTAATTACAATTAATTTTCTTACTCTGTTTCTCAATCTGACTTCTCGAGGTATTCATATATTTAAGCTTTTCCCCTTCTGTTTCAGTAAGGTCAGGAGCAGAATGGAGAGGCTCAACATGTATAAGTGTGCACCCACATTTAAATATACACACACACAGGCACAAACATAGTGATAAGTGTAGGAGTCACGAGGTCAAATTGCTCCCTGCTGTTTGACACCTACCCAGCGTGACCACAAAAGCTAATCCTGCACACACTCTAATCCTCACGCTCCGTGTGCAAGCGTGTATACAATATGTGTGAGTGTGTGTTGAGAAATGTGATGGTCAGACAGGCCGTTACCTTTCGTCTCTCCCTCTCTGGGTTGAAGGTTCCCAACCATGACTGCATCTGTGCAGAAAAGACACAAAATGGAAAGGTCAGGGCAGTTACTTTGGCCAACAGCAACAACAACAACAACAAAAAAAGCAGAATTGTGGTGTATTCATTTAAATGTTTTTTCCCAGAGAGGAGTGGCCTTAGGTTGAGAGGCGAGTTCCTGCAGTGACAAGCTGGAACAAATGTCACATTGGCTATCACACCAACGCAAAATTCTTACCCATCCCTGCAAAACTGCCTAATTCACAGCAGAGTGCTGAGCCTAGAGGCAGAGGGGAACACTTAGACAGCTCCCAGCATTTCACAAAAAAGAGGGAACTGATCAGCTTCAACGCACACAATATGACACAAGGAAGAAGAAGAAGAAAAGGCAATGGGTGTAGAAAAAGGGGAGACATTTTTTTTGAAGAAGTGTTAAAAGAAAAAGGAAAAAGTGGAGCAAACATGGCAGATCTGAGATCTCCAGAGAGAATGTGGGAATACTTTTCGCTCTTCCTCTGTCTCCTCTCTCGGGGGAATGCAGGGAAAATGTCAACAGACACGCGCAGGAAAACACACACGCACTCACATGCACGCACACACCCATGCGCAAGACTGGGATTTGTAATGGTGGGACAGGGGGCGGGGGGCTGTAGGAAACCAGAAGGTTTATGTAACCCAAGACATCACAGACAAATCTCTGGAGGCCCAGTGTGAGCCTCGCACACACGCACAAAGAGGCTGCGTGAGAGATGCGCACTAACAGCTCCTCTGTTCTGCAATTTATTAACTCAATGTTGCCATGGTTTCTCAGCGCTGACGTGATTGTCATTGTAAATCTATGTGTGGCCATGGTGTGTTTGTGGAGTGCAAGAAGGGAAAAAAAACAGCCATTTGGTCATTAGACTGAACTTGTTCCAGAGCACCACCATCCATCAAAATCAGCAAACACTGATAATAAGTGAAATATCATTAGGCTTCAGCCAGGTCTCCGGTGTGCTGCTTTTGTTGCAAGTCTCTTTTAAGCCGCGCCACGGAAAGTCGAACAATTCAGCCAGTTAAGTGTTGAGGCGTGAGGCTTAAGAGGGAAGGAGTGGGCATGTACAAATCGCATCCATAAAACAAACACACCACCACACTCCCAGACCTTTCTGTCTGGCCTGATAATGACTCATTAGCTTTCAAATCCCTCCAGTTAGTATGAGCTCACACAGTCACTCAGACTGTGTCCGTGTTTTTCTAAATAATCCTGTTGTAAACGACTTGGACTTGGTAAACTTAATGAGCTATGGAGTCGCTTTCACCCACGATCCTCCCTCTCTCTCCCCCGTCTGTCTCTGGAAAGCGGAAAACTTCCCCGTCCGGCTAACATCCCACCTCTCTTCACTCAGCCTCCTCGTCTTTATCCCTTTCCCCGATGCGTCGCCACCTACCCTGCTTTCAAAGCTTTTGAAATTCTTTCAAGTGAGACAGCCTGCAGCTGAAAAGAGATAAGGCTTGAGCTCTTCATAAATATGATAGAGAAAGCAAAACGGCAGAGTGAAGGGGGAGAGAGACATAGAAGCGGAAAGGGAAAACGAACAGGGGGGGTAGAGAGAGACAGAAAGAGAGACAGACGGAGGTGGAAGGAAAAGAGAAAAAACAAGAAAGGTGGAAAACAGAGATACAGAGAGAGACAGGAGGTTGCGGGAGAGACAGCTGAATACTGTGAGCTGAATGAGTTATGAGATGCTGGATGCAAACCAGCTACATTCAATTCATTCTCTTTATCACAGTCATGATAAAGAGCGCTGTAGTCTCTTTTCCCTTCCCTTCAGCTACCTGCTGTCTGTCTCCGAAGCCGTCTTCCTGCAGCCCGGCTATCTTTAAAATCTGTCTCAGCATCCAATCGCTCACTCTGCCACCCAAACAAAGAATGCCGCCATTAACGATGACAATTTATTATGAGTCTGATGTGGTTTTAACCTGATTCCCTCTCACCGTGTTTTTGTATTTGATGAATAACATCTGAAACCCACAAACATTTTGCTGTGACACATGTCTGCCACCACCTTTCCACTGGCAGTGCAGCCACACTGTGTCGTCAGATCAGGGGAATGAAAGCTATGCGAACTGCGTGGAATGCTGCCTCTGGGCTCCGACTGCACCCTTACAATGGAAAATCACACAGAGCTGACATGGGGAGGAGATCAACTAAGTGGTAAACCAATTAATCGACTGATCACCTAAACAATTTGACTGTTAAGAGTGGAATACACTCATCACACAAGTACAGGAATCCCCTGGTGACATCTTAAGATAACTTGTTTGCCCAACCAACGATCCACAAAAACTTGAGGTGATCAATTTACAGTCACTTAAAACAGAGAAAAGAAGCTGGAACAAGTGCATGGTGTAATTATTAATTAAAGCCACTATGTATAGAGATAGACTTTGCATCTCTAACTTTGATGTCTCCTTCTAATAAGAAAAATCTGTGCTGTCTTCACACAAATAGTTATGTGACCTGAATATTTAGCAGCTTTAAAGATTTATTCAGGTTTATTAAAGCTTGTAGAAATTTTACTAAAAGGCCATGGTGATGTCTTAAAATAGCGTGTTTTACTTGACTGATAGCCCAGAAACCCAAAGTGATCAATTTGAAATCATATAAAACAGAGAAACATTGGACATCTTCACATCTGAGTAGCTGAGACAAGAGAATGGTGGATGTTTTTGCTTAATAAAATTGGAATTACCGCCTCACTTTCTATACCTCTGCCAATCAGTCGAGTTGCAATTTACATCCATGTCTACCCAGGCTCAAACAATATAAGTGATGAAGACTTTGAAGGAATTTCATAAAAGGTATTGAGTGTATGTCTTTGCCAAAACGTGGACGCTTCACACACATCTTCAACCAGGCAGCACAGAACATCTATACCGTCACCACAGTTTCAAGATGTGTGAAATTTGTCAAAATTAGTGTATGAATTCTCGGCCAAAAAACATGGTTTGTGAGGTCACAGTGACCTTTGAAGTGGATGTTTGTGCCAAAATTTGGAGCAATTCCCACCCGGTGTTCCTGAGAAATTGTGTCCCTAAAGATGGAATGAACGGACAGACTGACAATAGACTGATGGACACTCAACTCAAAAACATAATGCCTCTGAATGCCACGACTGTTGACGGCATGGATGCATAAAAATGAATGCTTCTATGTGTAGATTTTGAATTTGGAGTTTCTGACTTCAGTGCCTCCCTGTATTATAAAATAGTACCAAAAACATTCAAACATACTTTCTAGTCACAAAGTTATATGATCTGAATAATTAGTATCTTTAAAATATTATCTCTGAAATGTTGAAAAATTGTGAAAAGCACTGAGAGGCCATTATAATGTATTTAAATAGCATTTTTTTGCCCAACCAACAGTTCCAAAATCTCAAGGTTAGCAGTATACAGTCATATAAAACGGAGAAAAGACAGGAATCCAAGCAGGTTGAACAGGTGAGTGGTGGATATTTGTGCTTTACAAATTAATCAAAGCCAATATGTTTAAAAGTAGCTCCAAATTTAGCTCCTTTCAGTAGCATGACAACAGACCCCTGAAACATAAAGCAATTCTAAACACAAAAAAAGTTATGAGATTTGAATGATCAGTAGGTTTTAAGAATAATTCAGGCTTATTTTTAAATTGGATCTTGTTGGGGTTTTTTTTTACTTTTGGTCCTACAATAACATTCGACTGCTGAGATCTGGTAACCTAGTTTAATAAAAAGCAGTTAACAAGGTTCAGTCGCAAGATTTTTATTGTCAACGACTGCTTCTCTGCAATTGTTGTGCAGATGACAATAAAGAACTTGAAACCTGTGAACAGGTTCTAAACAAGCCCCCGGGTTAGCAACACAAACCTGACTTACTCGTTCGTACTTGTGTGCTTATCAGTTTTACCTTCACATTAACAACATAGCTGAAGTTTTGGCATCTTTACAGACTGTCTGATTGTCAGAACGATTGTGTTCTTTGGCCCAAACCAGATTTATCCTTGTAATTTTGATGGTTTGCAGCATTGTTTCTGCCTTCATACCAACTGTACTATATGTATGACAAAATAAATGACTGAAAACACAAACTGGACCAGTTCCTAACCCTAAAATAATATATCACACACATTTAAATCTTTCGGGGGATTTTTCTTGACTCTTTTTTACATTTTTCCTAGAGAAATATGAGAACACACAAACAGCAATCCTGCCTGAGTTCTCAGAGATGTCAGCTTTCACTAATGTCACTTTTCTAAAAGGTCACAATGCACTTGGATTCAGCTAAATTGCCAGTGTCTTGCGCCGCTGCTGCTGACTGCACGCATGTTGAGCACTCACCCTCGCATTGGCCACGCAGATGATCCTGGCGTAGCAGCAGATCATTAGGAAGATGAGGCTGAACAGAGGCACGTACCATCTGCAAAAGCACAAACACGAGCAGGTCGTAAGAAAACTCCAAATGGGCAATATTAAAAAAAAAATAAAAATCACTCTCAATCAATCAATCTGTTTGTTTTTCCTCTTTGCCTCCTGTTACAGGAGGAGGGACAGGAGGTGTGGAGGACGCTTTAGGGCCAAAATGAATTAAAAAAAAAACACAGGATTTAATTCATTTGTAATCCATGAGCAGAGTGTCGTATATCCTAATGAAATTTATATGGTGATAGGACGTAATAACATACCAGGTGTCCAGTGTTTAGATATTAGGGCTGTCTAAAGCGATTAGAGTGAAACTCATTTAATAAGATTTCCTCTGTAGGACTGCAATCTGAGAAGGCCATTGTTGTTAGATATGATTTAGTGTCTGGAGAAAGGCTTGTTCTGATCTCACTTAATGTAATTGTTATTCAGCCTTTAAATTATCTTGCTGCTCTGTTTTAAACACGAAACGTTTCTCATTTTGCTCTTGTCCTTCCCAAAAACTCTTTGAAGGAGTCAGACTGACCACAAGCAAACTAAACTAAACTGCACATTCAAGTATGTTTATGCATGTCATGTCACCAGAAATGTAAAAGAAGATATCAGTCTTAGTGAAAATGTCTGGTTGAAGAACTAAGTGGTCATACATGCAGGTGACGGGGAGGGTGCAGGTATTGCACTTTGTGGTTGCGGTTCTGGAGCGGGTCTTGCAAATCAGACCCATGCAGGACTCTGACTTAAATGTACGCTCCTTCATCAAAAACATTTAAATTAAATTAAAGATTTATTTTTAATCCCTGATGATCCACCTTGAAAGCAAAGTACTAGTCTAGAAGTCAAGAAATTTTGTGGTCAAGGAAATTACAGTATTACAGTATAAGGATTACAGCACATATACATATTTCTCCTCCATTGTTGTCGTCGTTCAGCACTTGTACACGTAAGATGTGACAGTCGGTCTTCGTGGTAGGCTATGTGTCCTGCTCCTCCTCCACTGTGATTGGAGGGCTGGGTAAAAAGTGATAGTAAAGAGCACAGCGTTTTACCCAAAGTTAAACATTTTTCCTAGGGGCTGCCCCATGAAAATCAAAGATTTGAATCATCTGTTGGAGACCTCTCAATCAACTGAGATTCTTGAAATTAAGCAGTCATCTTTTGTTTTTTGTCAGTGTAGTGAGCATCACTCCCTTTCACACTGCTCTCCGGTGCAGGCAGGTGCAGACCCAGACCCAGTTTGAGTTGGAGTGAGATGGAGGCAGCTTCCCGAAGGAGGAGAGGCTTTGCTTGGTCACGCACCATGATAACGTCGTCTTCTGTCTTCAGCTCAGAAGTGGTGAATTCACAGCTCACAGCAACTGAATACAAAACAGTCTCTGGCTTTTGTTTTATATCTATTGTCGGCAAAAAATGGTGCACATTTCTGATCCATAGTTAGCACACATTAGCTCGGAGAGCTAACTTGGCTTGTTTACGATATCAGGTGAGCATTGCTGTCACCCTGAACATCCTGCCAAAACCCGTTCAAACTCTCAGACTCTATATGAAAAAAAGGAAAGAATAGTTGAACATTCATATATAACAGCCACAGTTAGATTCTTCAGCTCTCGACGACCATAAAAAGAGACCAAACATGCAGCGTTCAGTACAGAATAAATGCTAAGCGCCTTGTCTCACTGCTAGCATTTGTAGCATAGTGCAAATACGTGGCTTTCCCATTGCAAAAAATTAATAAAATCTGCTGGCATTAGGAAAAAAAAAGGCTTTTCAGCGAGTCGAGGCTGAGCTGCCGCTGCAGCTGCACTTTTGTCATCTTATACTTGCTCTTTTTCTTCTTCCTCTGGCATTTAATAGCAAACTAGGACACAAGAAGAATTGTGACCCCTCTACCTACAGTACTGGAGAAAAACGACTACCGTCATCGACATCCATTTGGTATCAAATTATTAGTTGTCATGATGTCCGTGGTACAGGTGAGACTGTTTATTATTCTAAACAGCTGAGGCATAGCGGGCACACAGTTTGTACATAAACAGCACAGTGTGGAACATGCCTGACTCAGCACGTCTGGACCATACTGCACATAGTTTCAGTGAGTAAGAGGAGAGGTATACAAAGAACAAAAGATAATGCCAGCAAGTCACAACGCCGGAAATGCATGTCATTCCTACGGGATGAAGAGCTGACAATCAAGGAAGACACAGGGGAGAATAACTTGTCAGGTATTTCTAAGTCAATGAAAGAGAGCGAGACAGGCAAGGGAAATGAGGGTGATTTGTTGGAATGGCAGCCTTGTGTTATGCAACCTCTTGGGAGGTGATGTAAGCTCGGAGGAGTTTCAACCTCTCCGTGTAATCATCAAACAGGCCTTTGTCTTGCTTTGATAGACAGGTTCCTGGCCATCACGTCTCCGTTCAGCTTCAGTAACACTGAGCAGATGAGAACGTGCAGTGCGACACCCAAGTCCTCCCGAGCACCTGGCACTGGCAGGAAGGCACTGGCCAAATGCTCCTACATGATAAACATGTTAGGCTGTGCAGAGGAAGAACATCAAGAGTGATCACAGGCCTCATCATGATCCACAGGAGGAAAAAGTTCTCTGACCCATAAATATGGGGACGCACATGGTTTCAAAGGGAAATGGATTGGGAATAAATGTCCAACAGTGTGCCTGAAAAGTCCTTGACATGTGTGCTAAAAACTGCAACTTTTAGCAGCATCTAAAAAGGCAAATAGTAGGTCCTTGGCCTAATTTAACTTTGTCCACACTTGTCTTCCAAGCCTGCGGGTTGAAAAAAAAAAAAACCTCACTGAGCATTATCAAATTAAACTTTTTATTGGCAGGGGAATCGGAGATGGTAGGCGTTTGTTTCGCAGCAGGAAACAGGGGGAGGGAAAGGCTGCTTCGCACATCATGCTCCTTCACGTCTTGTAGGGAACATCAATATACAAAGAATACCCTCTTTGAACATGTGTGTGAGTGCGCGTGTGAGTGCGCGTCCACGCAGGTTCAATAATGGCATGGGACAATGATGAAAGCGTTTCGGGGGGAGACCTGCGCGAGCGTCACCTCGGTGTGATTTAATAACCCGCTCTCCGGAATAAACAGCGTCCAATTACGCCAGCGCACGTCCCGTTAATGATGGAGAGACGAGGTGGGGGGGTGGGGGCGGGTTGGTGGAGAGGGGAAAGGAGGGGGTGGCCTTTTTAACGATAGCGTGGGGGGCTGCGAAGAGGAGAGAATGACGGGCGGCAGCTACAAAGTGCTCTAATTAGCATGATAATGATCTGCCATTAGAGTCCGCTGTGCTCTACAGCTGAGCACTACCCAGAGAGAGCGAGAGCAAGAGGGAGACGGGAGGGAAAGAATGAGGGAGTGAAAGAATGAAATAGAAGCAGGGAGAGAGAGAAGATTCGTGGGCAGGGGGATGATAAAAGTGAAGACAAGAATAGAGGTGAGGATGGAAAGGTGGATGGATGACGGCAGATTGTGGGTCAGGACCAGAAAGAGCAGAAATAGGAAAGAAGCACCGAGTGATTAAAAGACAGAGAGAGGGATAAGGTCACAGCGGGAATGAAAGGAATAGCAAAAAGAGGCTGCAGCCAATAGATCGACGAGGGAGGGATGGATAGAATGACGGATAACCACAGAGGGGTTTCGAGAGGACAACACTGAGCAAGAGTGGAAGCCTGAAACTGGCAGAAAGAAAGATCATCACGGACGGGCTCAGATTCAATCTCTCGGCCTCAGCCTGGCCCTCCCTCCAGTACCACTCTGAAGTGAAGAATGAGGCCTGGATGAAAGAAGCCTTAATTGAAGTGCTCAGTAGGAGATGAGAGTACTGTGGGGGCCCGTCTGTGTGGGTTAGCACTCAACTTTGACAAACAAGATCCTACTGCCGAGTGAAAGATCACGATCTACCTGTTCAACCACTCAGGCAGGGACAGGACAACCCAAGAGGCAGAAAGGGAGGACGGAGACACAAAGGCCAGCAAAAGCAGGGTGTGCAGGGTGTGTCTTACCAGATGCACTGATGCAAAAGTTAAAAGGAAAAAAAGACAAACAGGCGAAATTACAAAGAATGGATTGCAGCTGCTGATAGCATTATGAATTGTGCATCACTTGCAGCCGCTATCTGCCTCATCTCAAGGTCAGATTCACGAAAGTTATTGCGCTAATGATACTACAGCGCAAACACGCCCATGAAGTTTTGCAGCTGAGTGCAATTTGCCCTATTTTTGCATCGGGCTGCAATTATCCACGTGGCAAAGTATGAATGTTGCCTTTGCGCCAAGAACACTATCTGCAGAACAATGGCTGGGAGAAAAAGAAAACAGGAGTTTTCAGATCGCAAGTTACAGGTTCTGACCTTTGTGGAGCAGAAGCATTCCTAAAAACTTTTGGCTAGGAATTTGAGCGTGACAGAGAGAAACTGTGTTTGGGATTTATTTTTTCAGCCTATCAGTGTGCTTCAGTTACCACCAACTCTCTTAGCATGCTAACTATTTCATTTTAAACATGTGGCTAATTAGACTTTTTTGAATTTGGTGCATTTGCATAGAAAGGGACCAATATTGCACCAAATGTACGCATATAACCTAATTTAAGACTATTTTCTTGGCAGCACATTTAAGGGAGCATTTTCCCTTTTGCAGGCGCTTTGACAATTACACGCTTTCTTTTTGTCTTATCTGTGCAAGTTCAGCGGCCACAAACGCCACGCAATCCTTTTCTGAATTCACCTGCAAACATAAACGACCATGCTTACAGCTCTGTGAGGTTGTACTTCTGTGCAAGTTGCTATTGTCAAAATGCTCACAATGACAATAGTTGGATTTCCATCCAAATTAAGCAGAAATGTTAAAACACATGTATTTGCTTTTCCAACCATTAGGGTTATGCGAATATTGGAAGTTGGTTCATTTTGATAAGCATTAGTGGACATTAATTTTCCTGTCAGCTGCCACTGCACAATGTGATGACATAATTAAAAGAGCGCCTCTCAAACCCCAAACAAAGTAAAGCAATGGATGTGTCACAACAGAGAGCACACTTGACAGTGGAAATACATGTGAACTAATATTCCATTTCTGTGTGCATAATTTTATTTGTTATAAGCCTCCAGAGACGATGAAGAGAACTTGCAGTGGTCTACGCAATGATGGTACCTCATGACTGCACATCATCATTTATTCACTGAATCTGTTTCTATTGCATTTTGTTGCAATTACCTTTTGTCGAGACACCAAGTTTTCCACCCGCATAAAAAGTTTTTTCTAATATTTCGAGATTTTTTCCAATTTTTGGCAATTCCACTTAGGTTTTTTATGTGTAAATTGAAAAATGCGCATGAGAGAAATTGGATGGAAATGCACCTAATGTTAACATAATGGTGTTTAGCAGGTTTAATATTTACAATGTTCATCTTAGCAGTGTGTTAGCATGCTAACGTTTGTTAATTATCACTAAACATAAAGTACAGCTAATACTAATTGGGATGTCATTAATATAACAAGGATTTAGTCATATGTATTGGTAAAATTTAAATTTTGACCCGACGATGGCCCTGGATGAAAAAGTCAGGGATTACCAAAGTTATTACAATTCACTGTGAGGGGAACATGAATGCATGACCCAAATTTCATGGTAATCAGATCCTTTCCTTCCACCTCTCTACCTTGAACTACCCAGTAAAATTGCATGAGTTAATTTGTAACTTTTTCAGGTACATCTTCTAGGAACCATGAATGTCTTTAGAAAAGTTTGCGCAAATCCATTTACTAGATGAGGAGATATTTCATTGGATAGGTGAAACCTTAGGCTGTGCTAAATGACAAATCAATTTGATACCAAGTCATTAAAATTCATCCTCTGGGCACCACGAATATCTGTAATAAATGTCATGGCAATCCATCCAATAGTTGCCAATATGTGTCACTAAAAACCAAACTGTCCATGAAAAAGTCAGGGGATAACCAAAGTCATTAGGATTCATCCTCTGTGGCCCATGAATGTCCGTACAAACTTACATTACAATCCCTCCAATCAATGCTGAGATATTTCAATCTGGACCAAAGTGGTGGACTGACTGATTTTACAATCCCTCGAGCCCCCCTGAGAATTATAAGTTTTAATATGTGCACGTCATTGTCTCAGTTTATCGGTGCCACGTCTGACCACAGCCCATGATACACACAGACGGGGACCTCTAAGAGCGGTGACTCAGCTAAGCTCGAGTGCTTCCAATTGCTGACTCAACCCCTGAAATTCTGCACCTCCGTCACAAAACGCTGTCCTCTGCTTTTCATTCTCCTTCCTCTTTCATCCCCTTTCACACCGTCCTCCTCCTCCGAGCCTCCCCCGCCTGCTCTGTCTTGTCTGCGCCGCTTCGCTGAACTCTGATGAAGACACACTACGGGGCGTGGGCAGAGACGAGGGCAATCTATTTCTCTCACTCTCCTCTCTCCTTCCCTGTCCTGCTATGCCGCCCCTCTTTCCTTCTCCTGCTGAGTAATTCCCCGTCTCTCTAACTGTACCCCGTATGTCTCCCCTCCCACCTTTTCCACTTTTCACCTTTAATACTAAAACGTCTGCTCTCCTGAGCCGTTCCCAGCAAGCTGTCAGCAGGGTTCGGTGTTTGAGCTTATGTGGTTTTTCCTTGACGGGTGCTGCCTTGGCCTCTAATCTCTCGTCTGGTTTGATGTAATTAGAGCTAATGAAGATTCCCTGATCCTCTGAGCGACTCGTCCCCCTGGGCCACGACAGCGTGGAAAACTAGAAAGAGCCGGGGAGCAGAGGAGCACTGATAAAAGAGACACAGGCTCGTTTAGCGCAGCTGATAGCTATGTGTTGTTCTGTACGTGTGTGCACGAGTGTTTGTCTGCGTGAGTCTGTCTGTGTGTGTGCATGCTTATTTGTTTAGAAAGATTGATTCCCTGCTGATGCTGCGAGCAGCAACGCGATTACCTTGGCTCATAGCAAAGTGTGCATGTGCGTGTGTGTGTGGCTAAGCGTCTGTGCCGGGGGATTGGCAGAGCCCTTGCAGACTTAGGGCCAGTTGCAGAAAGCACTAGACAGGCATAATCCTTCATAGCCGTCCTAAACACTTAAATACACAGTGTAGCAACTCCCCTAAATCTGACAAGGCACAGGCAGACGCAGGCACATCCACATGTGCACACACACATACACACACACATCTTGGCCTTAGACCAAGAGGGAAAAAACCCTACAGGCTCCCTTGACATGCAACCCTTCACATTTCCCTACAGAGACAGCCCTTCTCCCCCACATCACCCCCAGTGGGGGAAGCTTTGATGCCGGCGCTGAAAGGGTCTACTTACATCCCAAATCTCCAGGCTACGTGATCGTCTGTGATCCAGCTGGGGGAAGAGAGAGAGGGAGACAGAGAGAGAGCGATGAGGGGGTTACAAAGGAAAGGGAGAGCGTGAGCGGAAGAGAGACTTGTGTGACTGCGGAGGGGAAAAGCTGTGCAGCTGTAGCTATTAATAAGCCGAGAGTGGAAAGAGAGAGCCGTGCCCGGAGATTAAGGCTCTGTCCCAATTCTCATTCCACCGCCTCCTCTGCTCGGCCTCTTCCCCTTTTCCTCACCCCTTTAACTACCCTCCAAACAAATAATGCCTTTCCTATTCACCACAAGAACTGGAGAGTCTGAGGGGGCGTTTTACTGTTAAAAGATGTGCTGATAATTGCCAATTTTGATCGCATAAAATCTTATGAGGGACGGTGCCTGTATGGAGCTGGAATGAGGCCAGAGCTGTGTGGCCCTCCTTGAAAGGAAAGACATTTAACAGAAAATCTGCTGTGGCTGGCTGAAAGAAAAGCATAAAAACTATGCTGGGGCTGGGCAAGTTGGCTGTACTCACCACCAGGCTCCTGCGGGGCCGTAGTAACCCTTTAGCAGTGGCAGAGAGGCCATGACCAGAGGAACCCCCCACGCCATCAGATGGTACAACCTGATAAAAGGCAGACATTTATTTCATTAGAAGCACAGAGACCAGGGAGCTTTGCCCCTGAGAAAAAAAAAGCTATGACTAAATCAATTCCTCTCTTCTTCAGTTTATCTCTTTGTTGGCACTCACATCGGGGTCATTTTTCAGGTGCAGACAAATGCCTATACAGCCAGGGCGCCAATTACTCATGGTAATATAAACCATAATTACCCCGACTGTTGTGGAAAAGATGATTTACAAAGGAGATGTGTGCATCAAAGGCGCAAACAGGATGCAGATTCTCACTCAGCGGGTGCCAGTGACCACGAAATTGCTCGCTAAACTGAACTTTTTGTTGCACAAATAGCCTTTTGTTTTTTTAAAGTAAAACAATAAAGAGACGGAGAGGCTCATAATGGCTATCAATTAAAAATGATCGGTGATGGCTGATGTGGAAAACTGGTACTTCAGGTCAATCGTTACTTGATGAATAATAGAATTAACTTGATGAGCCCCAGTTCTCCTTACACAAATCTGATCGAGAGAACCTTTTGGTACAGCACGTACAAAGTGCTGTACACAGGCTCATTCACTTTGTCCATTCTCTGCATTCATTTCATCTGGTACTGTGCATGTTTCCTGAAAGCTTGCAGAAACAGATGAAACCGAGCAGTACCACAGGAAATCTCAGGGGCAGTGCTGCGTAGTTCAAGCGAGACTAATTGTGAGACACGACAAAGACATTTTAAAAATGGTGGAACAGAACAAATTGGTAACACAGTGAGCAGAATTCTCCGTCCAGCTGTTGCAATGTATTAAACTGCCTGATAGACAACCGCCAAGGTACATTATTACGACTTCCTCCACCATTGCCTTGTTTGGTATTGTCAAAAACTTTGAGATTGACAATGATTTACTGTCCCTGTTAAATGGCGGCTGATCTCGTCCTCTGCTTGGATGGTAAGGAGCTCCCTGACCTCATTTTCACCTGTTTGCGGACATTTTCAGCTGCTGTTCTTCTAATTTGAGTTAGCTGCTAACCGCTACCGCTAACCGATTTTGAAATCTCCTGGTGGGGGGGTCACACACAGAACATGTCCTCGTCACACCTGTCCTGTCCTGCCGACTGTCCCCTTAATAGAGAGATCGATTCTGCGCCTGCTTAGAGGCAAGACAGCTTTGTCCCCACATTCCATGTTCAAACTTTTTAAGAGGAATGGCGAGGCAGAAGAATGGCGCAACATTCCTGCCTTCAACAGGCAGTGGCTAATGTTGTCTAACCCTTGGTCCAGACTGGTAAGCATGGCATTCTGGAACATCATCAAGTACCTCATCTTATCTTAACGTCCAGACACCCAGAGCGTCCTCACATGAGCATGCCAAATGTGACGGAGTAAGGCCTTCCAAAATAAACCATGACCATGGAAAATACACAGTTCATACATTTATTTATGTCTAATTCTTTCACTCAGTTATTTCTTATTTCTGTGTTGTGCCAAACATCCAGCCCATGTGATTATAGGACATCAACATTTTACACACATCTTCCTGTCTTTTAAATAGAAAGCACGTGACACAGAAAAGAAACAAACTAAAAAGAAAACAGGAACAATTTTGCAAATTAACTGTTCATGTAAGAAACTACCAATTATCTGAAGACTAGAGTTTTTTTCCTGTTCTCCAAGGCTTTCTCCAGATTTTTACATGTGAACAGCTGTATCAGTCTTTGTGCATCTTCTCTTTCCATTTCCCCCCCTAAGTGTGATTCGTTTGGGCAGGTGTGAACACAGCAATCACACTCAGGTGCACACCAAAACAACCAGACCGAGACCTTCTTGAAGAGGTGGTCTCAGTCTGGTTACAAACGAACTCTGGTGCAGTTCGTTTGTAGTGAGAACGTGTTCTGACCTGGATCTGAACCTACTGCAGTCACATGACACATTGTTTGGGTTAAACATGAGCATGTTACAGTCCTGGAGGATTATTAATGTGCACCTCCTCCTGTACTGCCTTAATATGCACATTCAGCACATCCAATGCATCAAAACATTGTTTTCTAGTTGGAGCCGCGCCTCGTTTTCAAACTGTATGCTTTGACTAAAATGAACAATGACAGCAATATAGTCCATGATGAGCAGCGCTAAAATCAACCTGCGTAGTTGTCCCTCCATTGTGACATTAGAAAGTGTCACATTTATCTTGCAAGTGTACTCATCTTCAACGTTTTGTTTACTTCCTGGATTTTTCCCGCATGGGCATTCTGACCAATCAAGAGCAGCTTTCTCGCACAAGGGATTTAATCTGGTCCGCTTGTAAATGCTGCCGTGAGAACACGAACCAACTCTAGGCAGTTATGAAACTGTGGAACAAAATTTGTTCCTGATTCGGACCAAAGAAAGCCGACTCTAGGTCTGAAAGCACCCTTACTGAACATAGCATTGCGCAGCTCATCTTGCACGGACAGTAGAAGGCATAATAGAACCCATTTTCTTTATCATTTAGAGACAACATGGGACAGATTCACTTTTCTTCTCTTTAGATTAACATACCATCCAGTTTCTACAGTCACAGGTAAATTACCAGGTCTCAGCTGCTCATTGGCTTGGTTTAGTCCATATATCGTCAGCCGCCTGTTTTTTATAACTTGGCAAACACAGATTCTTTTAACAAATCAATATCCAGCTTTTCATTATTAAAAAAAAAGCCTCACTAAACCCAGAGCTGCAAAACAATACGCAAATATCTTCAGACCAAGAACCAATAATCTGATAATTTCCCATCACGACAGCCTTCTACGCTCACAAAATCTTAATAACCAAACTTGGCTCTGTGTGTGTGTGTGTGTGAGACAGATGAGGTGTGTGCTCCAGTGTCTTGGGCATTGGTGTGGGCGTCGATACTTTATAGAGCGTACAGCGTCGCCTGGTCAATAGAGTGGAAGTCCTGCCCTGACTTGTTCCAAGTGCGGTCAATCGAGCGGTGGCGACACGGCTGACACACACTCAATCCCTCTCGACTTGTGCGGCGCACACACACACACACACGCACACACACACACACACACACAGAGTTCCTTGCTCTGATTTCACTGGGGCACACTGTATCTCCCCTCTCTGCCCTCATGTGATGGACAGCGGTATGCAAGTGTGTGGGAGGTGGTGGAGAAAGAGAGACGGCTGGTTGTTTAAATAGAGCAGAGAAGTGGGTGGGGAAGAGACATAGGAAACGTATAGATCCAGAGAGGGAGAGAGGGAAAGAGAGAAGGAGAGATCAAACACAAGAGGGAGTGGGAGAGGAAGGGGAAAACAAGGGTGAGCTGGGAGAGAATGGAAATAGTGGAGGCGCTAAGAAGGGAGAAAAGGAGCAAAAGAGAGCAAAGGAGGGAGATGGAGAAAGAGGGAAACAAAGAGGGATAGAGAGAGTCTGTGTGGTGGTGGGAGGAGAGATATAAATGGTGAAATCAGCGCTGCCAGTCCGCGGCGTGACGATTGGTGCAGGGGGGGTGCTGGGGGGCGGCTTGTCAGGAAATCAATGTCGAGAGCTCGCAGACACGCAGACACACACGCTGCTGCAGCACACACACAGTACACTCGCAGCGCTTTGAGAGGGAGATGACGAGGTCCGGAGCTGTGCGCAACATGGGCTTAATGAGGCACAGCAGGGCTGCTACGCGCTCTGGATTTCACACACCTGCGCGCACACACACCCACACATGCATGCACATGTAAGCTCATATATAAATCCCTCTCGAGGCTCAGTCTCATTTCTTACAGCCTCACACCACTTCGTCTTCTTTCTCCTGTTTGCCCGAATCCGTCCTCCAAACAAACACAAACACACATGCACGCACGCAAACACACTCCGCGTCCTCTCTTGCATCCACTTCAATCACTCTTAGATCATCCAGCCTCCGTTAGCTCTCCATCTCCTCTGGCGATTTATTCATTCATAAACCATCACACTGTGCCGTCACCGTGTGTGTGTGCGTGTGTGTGAGAGACAGAGAGGGTGGGAGGGTTGGGTTAGGGGGCTGAGGGGTAATTGTGCATGCATGCAAAGAGCCACATACCCGCCTGCCGAAACACATACAGCTCATCTACGCGCAGTCAATATGCGACAACCCCCCTGACGCCCTGTCTTCGCTTTGCTCTAACCTATGAAGCGCTGAGGGTGTTTTTTTTTCTGTGTGACCAGCCTAACACAAAAATACAGACACATCCTCCTGCCACCTAGTCCCTCTGGACCTGTGAGAGGTATACAGCTGACAAGGCTCAGGAGCGAGCCGATTTTGGCCCCCTAGCCTGCCCCCTTCCCTGCGCCCATAAAGCTGTCTCCTTCTGAGTTATAACACCATTATATCGTCTGGCTTATTGCTAATCAATGCAGGGAAACTCCCATGGGGGGGGCGGGGGGGTGGGGGCAGCATACACACACAGATGGGTAGGAGGGATGTGCACACCTAAGAACATCCACAGGACGCAAACATGAAAAATTGCGCAAAACAGAGTTGCCGCTAACTTGTTAGAGCGTTTTTTCCTCCCACAGAGTGCATACATTATTTTTTTTATTTTGGTGTGTGTGTGTTTGTGTCACAAAGCTCCGCGCGTGGCACGGAAAATGAGAAAATATCTATCTCTCTCTCTCTCTCTCACACACACACACACACACACACACACACAAGCAAATTCACACTCGCTCTGCGGAGGGTGCTCATGGGAGTTTGAGCGACAGAAACATAGAGCCACAAAGCGTGAAGATGGGTGCGCACACACACTCTTAACGGCTGACACTCACTCCCTTTTCAATTAGAGTGTCGGCTGGAACAGAAAAAGAAGGGGGAGGCTGTGGAGGGAGGGAGGAGGGAGGAAGGGGGGGCTGTCAATGCTCTGCTGGGAGACACATGCTCTGGCAGACCAAACACATGCACATGCACACACATAAACACACGCGCGGAGGGAAACAGACACAATAAAACAAGAGATGGATGCGCGTTCAAACTGGGAGACAAAGATAGAAAACGACCTGTTTGTGTCCACGGGGGAGGAAAAGTTGAAATGATTTGCCAATTAATTGGCAACTACTGTGATCATCAATAAACATCTCAGTAATTTAAAAGCCTAATCGTTTTCTGGTTCCAGCTTGTGAGGATTTACTATTATTTGACTACATGTACGTGCACAAAATATTAGTTTTTGCCCTTAATCTAAAAAAAAAAGACAATATTCTCACTAACCTGTTTACATAGCTGATAAAAATGAATATTCCATTATATTCCAGTTTACATGGAGCCATGTATACTCTGATTAACATGCCCTAACACAGTGTTTATCACATTACAACATGGAAAAGTGGAACGGCCAGTGCAGCTTGTGCCATTTTGCTTTTCTGCTTTTCTTTCAAAGTTTTCGACCGTGTGAACACAGCCTCCCTCTTTCTTTACTTCAACCACCTTCTTGAAAAGGTTGTTGTGATATCTGCGATAACCTGCTGATACCCAAGTCTTTCATAATGTGTAAAAGTAGGTGTGTGTCTCCCTCCAAGCAGCAATGTGGGCTTTTCTTCTGGGCATGCATCTCTATACCACACCCTTACAAACTATTGTTGCTGGTTTCAGGCTGTTGTCATGAACTGTCCGTACATTTTTCTACAAAAAGTAATGCACAAAAAAAATCATATGTATCCCACGTAATCATAAGGGCAGCAATTTGTGTGTGACCCACGTATTTCGAAAGGCTGCAATCACTTGACCAATGGGCTGAATGGAGTAAAGAATAAAGAAGAAAGAGGTCCTGTGTGGTGGAAGGCTGGAGACAAAACACAGGACTTTCCCCGGGGACTTACCCCAGGAGACCAGTGTGCAGAACCGTGTGAACTTTGAGTGAACTCTGAGTCATTTTACAGTATGTTGTCATCCTAAACATAACCGACAGATCTGGGGAAAACTGCATTCTCCTACTGCGCACCTTGGACATAGAACAATCTTTAAAAAGATCTAAAATAAGAAACACTTATATCCACTGATGAATTTAAGGGCATCATGAAGAATGTGGTGACAGAGACATGTTTGTTTTTCTTGAGAGGCCACTATGTTTGAATAGTTGTTGTTTTATTGAGGATTTTTGTATAATATGTTGTATTTGTTGCATTTTAAATGTGTTTTGATTGGCTGCTACCTTGGCCAGGTCTCTCTTGTCATAGAGATTTTCAATCTCAATGGGTTAAATTCCTGGTTAAATAAAGGTTAAATAAATAAAATAAACCTAACCTCTGCAACTTTACTTTAATTACGTAACTCTACATCGAGTACATAACGTAACTTCTGGGGTGCTAATTTGAAAGGTAAGTTACAAACCGGTGTCTTGGGATACACTGTTGGTTGTGTACAATGCCTCCATGACAACGCACAGACCTGACGTAAACAGGCAACAGACCATGTGTCACAAACTGCGGAAACACCATGATTAAGATGTAAATTTCGTATGCACGTCCAAAGAATGCTCCTACAACCAGAGTATTGTCATATTCTGAAAAGTCATTGTAAATTAAAAAAATTTGGGTGTTTAAATTAAACAAAAAAATACAGATATTGACAGAAACAATCAGTAAATTAATCACTTGATAATGGAAATAACTGTTAGCCGCAGCTCGAAGCCCCCTACTCACTTCTCATATCTGTTGGTGCTTATTTCTCGCACCAGGTTGAGGTACAGGTTCACTGTGATTAGGCAAACCCAGGCCAAAGCACTCCAGTCTGCAGAGACACAAAAAACAACAAGGTCAGATTACAACACAGCTCTCCCCCTCTATCACACAGCATGCACCTGCAACTATGTGTCCATGCACACACATGAATGCATGAGATTGTGTGTGTGTGTGCGTAGGTGTGTGTGCGTGCGTGTGTTCTACTTTTTGATAAATGGAGGCCCATTCTGCAGTAATATGAGGGAAACCTGTGGCTTAGGGTGATGGATGAGAGGGGGGAGCTCAGAGAGAGATAATGATGAACTGTGGAAAAGCAGAGGGAGATAAGCAGGAGTGGGGGCGAGAGAGGAAGAAATGAGGAGACGAGCGGGGTGCTGGGGTGAGGGAGTCGAACGGAGTGGACTGGAGCGAGCGTAGAGAAACTGAAAAGAAAAGAAGAAATGAAGAAAGGAAGAGGAAGGCAAAGTCAGCAGAGGGGAAAAATGAATATATTTTACCGAGACAAGGGAGAGAGACTAGAAAGCTCGCTTCCCTTATTCTGCCCTCCTATTCAGCCCTTTTCTTCTGTGTGTGTGTGTGTGTGTGTGTTTCTGTTGACAGGACAGGCAGGGCTGGTCGTCACAATGATGGATTCTCTGAGCCACATACTCAGCTTACTCAGTTTCACACAACAACCCCCCCCACACACACACACGCACAAATATACAAAACGCACACTCCTTTCACACTCAAGCAATGTTTAGGAATAGTGTGCGGTGACTAAGAAAGAAGGAGGGCTGGCTGTCTATGTCATTATCACAATACATCACTGTCACACAACGTGTCTTACATAAACGCACAGCAGCTGAGGCTTCGCTCTACGCCGACGACACACGGCTCGCCTTCATCACCTGTCCTGACGCGGCCCCCTGCTACAGTCGTCCTCCATTTCAAACACATTTCATAAAATTTTATTGGTCGGAGTTAAAAGCAGAGCTGCGCTATGCGGCTCCCACTAGACTCTGGCGCTTCGCAACGGAACAAAGTGCCCGCTCAGCCAGTGTTTATGTACAGCCGTTTGTCCTAAGCGTGAGGATCCTCGTGATAAACCGAGGTGACAGGCGCCAACCCTGCAGCACTAACTCACTGCCCATTACCCTGTATCCATCTGAGTGTGAGTGTGTGTGCCTGTGAGACCAATAAAACAAGCCTGCTGGAGTGCTGTATTAGCAGCCAGTCCTAACTAAGAATCCTTATGCTAATCAAGGCTAAAGGAGCTGTAATTGAAACAAACGCAGCCAAGTTTTTTTTATGTAAACACAGCCCTGCTGCATCACAAAATCGTCCCAAGTGTCCACAAATTTAGAACCGGTAGATGTACCTGATTAACCCAAATGACATACTGGAGTTAGGCACTGTGATTGGCGGCAAATCCTCTCCTCATACAAGGGACGATGATGAAACACTGAGGCGTCTGATCTGAGGGCTGCAACGGGCCAATAACTGCACAGCATGGTGCTTGACTCCCACATATTACACCATCATTACGGGTGTGGTATTCTTAGTATGGGTGTGTGAATACTCCTCCACCCTTGACAACTGGTGTATATTCAAATGGCAAGTAAATATCCTCGCCTATTTTTTTTCTTTCTTCAGGATAAGATACACAGGCTGGCTTCAATAAAACACAGGAGGATAGGCTTTTAAACACATTAAAGTGTCCCTGAATTAGAATTAGAGTGATACCACGAGAGAGCATAATCATAAACACGGTTAAATACAACATAACGTGTATAACCTTAGAAATAATATACAGTATGATGAGAAAAAAAGTGTCATGTTTTTTTTAAAGCCGGACTCATCTGCTTTTCTTAGCAGTGGAGGGAGACATACTCAGATCTTTCACCTAAGTAAAAATGCAAATACTACAGTGTACAAGTACTCAGTAGTCTTGTCATGGGACTGTAATTTCTGTTTTTGATATAATATCAACATATGACACCATTTTTGATACCTTGGGGAGAAATTAAAATGAGGGCAACCAATTTAAAATTTTGATTAAAGGTCCAGTGTGTAAGATTTAGGGGGATTTAGTGGCATCTAGTGTTGAGGACTGCAGATTGCAACCAGCTGAAACTTCTCCAGGTTAGAATTCCATCAGTGTTCATTGTTCAGGAGGTTTTAACCAGGAGCCGAATTATCCATGGAGGTCTCTTCCTCTCTAAAACAAATGGACCCGGTGAAACCGGGAAAAGCACTGACTAAAGCAGTATCATGTTACAAATCAGTGCTCCTCCAATGCTGTTTGGCATGTTGGAGACAGGCTGTAGCCTAGCACCTGCTGTGTGCTCACCTCATTTCTGATGGAGACTTTCAGGAGGTTTTTAGCGGGAGCCGAATCATCCACAAAGGTCTATTTCTCTCCAAATCAAACGGACCTGGTGTTTTATACCAGTTCAGTCAGGACCACTTTAGTCAAAGAAAACTATATTATCATTTGCAGTGTTATATTTGGTGGTACGGCTGTGTTCTGGGGCCCCCTGCCTTTCCTCGGGCCTATGCAGAAAGCCTTAAGACAGAGGGAGCACACCTCCCTGCCCTTCCATGCGCCTACATGGAAACCGTAAGAGAGCAGCAACAAAGACATCATTGCACCACTCTAAGGTAAAGACAACACTTCGCTTCTTATTTTCAGGTAATTAGACACTAAAGCAAATATACTTATTATATCATATTAAATTTATGCCAATATATCCCCCTAAATCCTACACACTGGACCTTTAAAAGAAAACTATAACAAGGCTATAAGATGACTACAACAACTTTTGTTTTCTTGGTTGGTTGCAGAGAACAGCAGAATGACTGTAGTAAACATTAACAATAGGAGAAAATAAGAAAGCACAGTTGGTATCGGTGTATCGATACTGCAGACAACGAGCATTCAGACTGTTTAAAATCAATTTGTATCACTAAATCAATATTTTAACAACACTATCTGTTAAATCCAGCATTCAGACTTTTGCTTAAGTAAAAGTACTAGCTTCATAATATATTTAAAATTACTCATAATGCAGACTGGCCAATTACTGGTTTATAATTATTGACGCCATGCAGCTGGTAAATGTGGAGCCCATGTTTTACTATATATACTGCCAGGTAGCAGTCAACTCTTCCATAATAAAACATCAATATGTATTTGTTAATTACATTTTTCAGTAATAATTTGATCTGAAAAGTAACTAAAATGTCAGATAAATGTAGTGGAGTAAAGCGTACAATATTTCCCTCTGAGATGTGGTGAAGTAGAAGCATAAAGAAGCAGAAAACAGAACTACTCAAGTAAAGTACAAGTACCTGAAAACTGTACTTCGCTGTTTCTTAGTGTTTCTTAATGCTAAGGTCTGGTGATTTGGGGACACCAATGTGCATTTTTAATATACATCTGCAGGAGTTTAGTATTCTTTTCGAGCACTAGCAGTGACTAAACAATTACTTATTTTAAAACATCCGTTTATCACTTTCAGAGGCTCACTTTCCAGCCTGTATCTCCTCCAGAAACGACTCCCCGCGTTGCATTTCAAGTAAGCTGTGAGTGAAAGATGGTGCTGTAAGCTGGAGCAATCAGTGTCAGAGCAAATTTTGCTCTGAAGCCAAAAAAATGAAATGACAAAGTAATATTATTTTCCACTGTGATATATGAGCTCTTCAACAAATGTCTGTTGAATCTCTGCTCTTTCTTTGATGGCTCACTCAACCCCTGTTGTTACAAGTGTGTCAGTGAGTAATAAATAAAGGGACAGTTCACCCTAAAATCCAAAATACATATTTTTTCTCTTACCTGTTGTCCTGTTTATCTATCTAGAATGTTTTGCTATGAGTTGGTGAGTGTTGGAGATATCAGCCGTAGAGATGTCTGCCTCCTCTCCAATGCAATGGAACTAGATGGCACTCTGCTTATGGCCTGGCTTACATCCTTAATGGGAACTTGGGGGGAGCTTCCATGGCCTTTAAGATTTTGGGGGAAGTAAATGTCACAACCAGATAGCTAACAAGGAGGGCTAGATTACTGAATAGGGAATCCTGCTGTTGGCCTTGGACTATGCCATTAGTTTGTGATATTGGGGCCCTAATAAAGCCTTGAAACAGAAACTTCAAGTACTGCAAAACAAAGTTGTGAGAGCAGTACTAGGTTTGGATCACAGAAGTCATATGGGTGGGTCTTTCAGCTCCAGTGGCTCCCAGTTAAGGATAGAGCGCATCATATCCAACTTCATGTAGTCCGTAGGATCTTAAATGGCGTAGCCCCTAGTTACTTTAACTATTATTTAAGGAAGATAAAAGATGGTACAAAATGAAGGTAACAATCATTTACTGTCTCAGTTACATGGCGGCTGATCTTGTCCTGTACTCTGAGGGTAAGGAGCTCTGGGATCTAATTTCCCCCCAGTTTGTGGACAATTTCAGCTGCTGTTCTTCTTCTATGAGTTAGCTGCTAACTGCTACTAAATGCTTTTTAAATCTCCCAGCAGTGGGTCACACATACAACACTTCATCAAACCAACACACCTGTCCCATGTTGTGAGCAGTTTCATGTGGGAACTATTTTCTTTTTACTGAGCTACCTCTGACAATCGTCATCACTGCACAGAGGGGAGTGTGCATCTACTGCTAGCTTACCTAGCTTCACTGAGCTAGCTAACGTTACAGCTCAGCCAAGAAGAACGCCATCAATGTTTACATATCACGTTGTCACAAGCACAAGCCTCTCATCCATGAGTTGATGCACAATTCCTTCTGAGTGGTGATATGATTGATAAGGAAAGAGTCATTGCTGTTAAGTTTTTTCAAACTGAGTAACATCTAGTTCCATTATACTGAAGATAAGGCCGACACCTCTACAGCTGATATCTCAAACACTGGGCAACTCACACCAAAACAATCTAGACTGACTAATAGCACAACAGGTAAGAGGAAAAATGTGTATTTTTGATTTAATTTTAATGTTTTGCTTACCAAAATAAGTTAGCCAGCAAGCCTGGAAGACACAAAGAGATCCCTTGCGATGGGAATCACCCTGGAGAAGGAAAGAAGAACAGCACAGGGAAAGATTTTCACAAACCACCACCAAAAAAAAAAAAACCTCTCGCTATGTGGGTGTTTAGTGAAACAGACTTGAGTAACTCACCATGACATATGCTACGCTATCGAAGAAGGCAGCTACAGTCAGGCTGAGAATCATCTTCTGCACAGTGAAAATGAGACGAAGACATGAGGAGGGATTCTCTAACAAAACCTCCCTACTTAATATGCCAGTGCGTTTCTATTCACGTTGAGAGAAGGGCAAATTATAGATCAAATGATCACTGATGTGGCTGACAGCTTGGCATGCGACGTCCCTGGTGACAACTCTGTGTAAATATCACAGGATGGAGGAGAGAGTCTCCTTAATTCCTTCTATATAAACTGAACTCATTGTATTTTATTTGAAATAAACCAATAATCTGCGTGCTACAGAATTTTAAGAGGGTAGTTGCGATGCATGCCAGCTGTCTATATAGGTGGTTATAAACTGTGGCTGTGCTGGGACACACACATATCAGCCTTTTATGAATTTGTGTCCAGCAATGACCCTGCCAAGGCTGCGGGAGAAGCGGAGGGGGAGGGGGCGGAGACGGAAAAAGCCCTAAAGAGAGAGCATTAAAGACTATTGACTGACGGATAACCTTTGTGAGAGGATGGAGGCAAGGAGAGGGCTTATGTGGTGTGAGAGGAGCAGAGGAGGAGGAGGAGGAGGAGGAGGAAGAAGAGCAGGAGGAGGTGAAGTCACTCTGTGCAACCTGGTCCAGGGGTAATAGGATTCATCAGAGCCCCACGTTAAGCTGTCATTTACTTCAGATTAGGAGGATAACGTGGAGCGCTGCTAAACCTGACAGACCTGCTGGACCAGCTTCAAAAACACCACAGACTGCACACTCAAATGAACACCGATCTGCTTCAGACATCTAAAACTCTTCTGGATAAAAGAAAACATATTTAAAAAAGCATCTAACTATTTATCAGTCTATAGCCAGACCTAAAGAATAACTCTTCATCTGAGAGGCGAATAAGCACAAGACGGCCGTCATTATCACAGAACAACCACGAGTCAATTAACTCCGCAATTGATTAATCTGTGCATTTTTAATTGGGTCCAATTATGCCAAGATTTGCCATGGCTAATTGAACATATTTCCGGTGGCAATGAAGCAAACAAAAATGAGGAGGGAAAAAAAAGGGTCACAACATGCTGTACATTGAAGTGGAAATTTACCTGAGCCAAAGAGTGATACCTTCGAAGCAGCCAGATCACAAACAGCATGAAAAGGCTGTGAAGAGAGAAGAAAGACAACAGTGAGACGTTTCCGTTAACTGCAGGGGCAACAAATTTGAGGAGGACAGGCCATTGGCTGTTTTAATTATGATATACAGCATTACCGCACATAAATACATCACAAGAACTCCAACACTTTTCCCCGCAGGCTTTACTGTAACCTTTACTCCGGCTGTGATATTCTTTAGCGTACGGTACAGTTACTGACCATTAAAGTGAAGCAGGTTTGGACTGAAACTAATGAAACCTGCAGAAAACCTGCCAAAGACCTGCTCTGCGGCATTTGAGGGAGTGAAGTCTGCAGCCAAGAAGCAACAGCTAATGTCAAAGCCAAAATGTTAGAGTACAGTTTATCAAATGACCATTAGATGCACCTTGAAAAAACAGGACTGAGACAAATGGGAAAACCTCCAAGGGCTTCTTTGAAATTATAAATGTGGGGTTTTAAGGGCTGCAGGATATGCAAAAACAATTGAATTGCATTTATTTTGACAGATATTGCAAATGCAATATGAGTCAAAACTTTAGTGAGAATTCAGACATGCATATTCTCTTATGTCTGAAATATAATTTGTAAGCTGGGGCATCACCGAAACACCACAATGCTTCATTCATACAGATATGTTGTGACACATTTTACCTTTATCATAGAATTGCAGCTCCTGTGATTTAGTTATGGCACTTTGCCATATTACAAATTCAATAATATTTCCATTAATTGTGCAGCCCTAATTTTTTCCAGAAAGCGATTAGGGTCCCAACATACTAATTCCCCTTGTTTATTGTTCAATTAAACTGATATGTATAGTCTTGAGCAGCGGGCCTGGCTGTGAGAAACTTTGAGATAAATCATTTAGTTTAATTAGAAAACAACATTTTAAATGCAAATCTTGTTTGACGTTACATTTACCACTTTTTATGAACGGTAAAGACTTAAATTTCATTCTCTTTACTGGTCATACATGTCCGACAGACAGGACGTGACCAATACATCATTGCTATTTATCAGGCTGCAGCTAAAACTAATCATTTTCCTCTTTATATAGCTTACAGTAGACTGTGCACATTTGCTTCTGGCTGTCCCTTTAAAACTCATCATTGTAGAATGTATTGAAACCCTTAATTTGCCTGCTCCTGTCATAACAACACAGCAACTTATTTTCACATGTATACATTTCAGGTACCGTCACTATCCTGACTACTTAAAACAGTGTATGCTACCTTTCTCCTCTAATTATTAACCGAGACACTCTACACAGGTCTGTTATTTCTGTTCCTGCAGTCTCTAAGTCAATAGGTAAGAAAGCCTTTATGTTCAAAGCCCCCGAATGAAAAAAACTGTAAATATTCGGTCCATACCATCTTTCCACTTGATCAAAAATGCCCCATCTTCTTAGTGTAGGATCAGTCATACACGTCCATAATAACACCTCTCTATTTTGTTTAATTATGTTTCATAGCTTCATTAATTAATGCTGTAACTGACATTAAAGGTCCAGTGTGGATATACTGCCAGAAATTGAATATAATATAATAAGTATGTTTTCTTTAGTGTAAAATCACCTGAATATAAGAATCACTGTGTTTTTGTTACCTTAGAATGAGTCATTTATATCCACATAGGGAGCAGGTCCTTGTCTATAGACATTTCCATGTTGCACTGCCATGTTTCTACAGTAGCCCGGAATGGACAAACCAAACACTAGCTCTAGACAGGGCCATTCACATTTTCGCGTTATGACATCAGCTACTATAGTTAGGAGCCCCTCTGCAATGAGAGGCATTGGAAAAACACCAATTTTTTTAACGCGAAAAAGCTTTTTTCAATGTTTTTCCCAGTTTAAATCACCTGGTCCATTTGTTTTGGAGACAAAGAGCCCTCTGCAGATAATTTAGCTTCTGACAAAAACCTCCTGAACATCTGGATCTTAAATTATCAGAGAAAAAAGTGAGCACACATTAGCAGGTGCTGGGCTACCAACATGTCTGCGAAATGCCAAATAGCATAGGAGAAACACTGGTTTGTAACATGACACTGCTTTATCCAGCGTTTTTACCTGTTTTAACCATCTGATCTGTTTGTTTTGGAGAGGAAGAGATCCCCGCGGATAATTCATCTCCTGGTAAAAACCTCCTGGACAATGAACACTGAAGGAATTCTAACCGGGAGAAGTTTCAGCTGGTTGCAATCTGCAGTACTTGCCACTAGATGCCACTAAAGGTGCGGACACACCAAACCGACATCAGAGAACTAGCGGCAACGAAAGCCAACTGCTGCGTCGTCTATGTCACCTCACATCACCTCACGTCGCCTCACGACGCCCTGTGTCAGTTGCATTTGAACACACTACACGGACTACATCCGACAGCCAAGTGGCACGTACGTTCTGCGCCTGCATGAGAGAGCGTAGTGACAGAGTGGTACATCCTGACAGCCGAGGTGTTTCTTATCTGTGCAGCCAAGCACCGCAGCACCTCCACTGGCTATTACATTCAGGCGGTCCCAGTGTTTCCTCTGCAGGCTCCACTTCACTCAGCTGCCCGATAAACCAAGCTTCTTCCCACTTTAACCTGAATAACAAACGGTTGGATCCAAACAGAGCCGGGGCTAGCTCAGAGACTAGCGGAGGCTAACTGGCTGTGCGTCCCTCCGTTGTGCTGCGGCTAACACTCTGAGAGCCGCTCCCAGCTAGCTCCAGCTCTCCGTTTGGATTCAAACAGAGAACCGGGGATAGCTGGGAAGCTGTGCCTCCCTCCGGTCATGCTGCTTCTAACACTCCACTAGCCTCACAGCTAGCTCCAGTTTGTTCTTCAGGTTAAGTGGGAAGAAGCAGCGGGTCTGTGGGCAGCTGAGTGAAGTGGAGCCTGAGGAGGAAGCACCAGTTAGCCCCGGTTTCACTATAGGCAGATTCACTCGCTACAGGGGCGAGGGAATAAAACCTGAACAGCCAATCAGAGTGATGTCTTTCACCGACTATCTCCACCGCCAATTCAACATGCTCAATCGTCCAAAAAGCCGCCTACATTTTACACACTGCTCCTTTAAACACACTATAGCTACAATCTATGATTGAATGGTCCATTTCATGCTCTGATCTCCTGTCTTCACGTCTTTTTATTTGATGTTGACTGTTTGGCTGTTTTGTTTTTGTTGTTGTTGCTGCTTTTTGTCTTCTTTGTCATATTTGGTACTGTATAATTATCCTGTAACTTCTGTTTCTTGTTCAATGTTCTTCTAATTAAGGACTCCCTTGAAAACCAGATGGTACATCTCAAGCAGTTATTCCTAATAAAGAATTTCCAACCAACTCCAAGCTTCTAAAATGAACCCAAATTTGAATCAACACATCTTAAACACAGCCTCAACAGAGGCTAAATATTACAAGCTTTACAAAGATTGTATTTTACCACAGGGTTATTCTAAAAGGTCACGTCAGATTGCTCAGGTTAAAGGTGCCCTGCGGAGTTTTGTTGTTACCAACGAAAAGTTATGTTTACATCAAGTGTCACTCACCAGAATGCAAGTGCGTGTCCTTGAGGGCTAACAAATGTTTCTAGTGCATTTCCTTCCCCATAAAACATTTGCAAAGCCGATTTTTCCGTAGTTTAAATACACCATAAACAAAACGGGGACCCACTCATCCAAAAACAACAGCTCCACAGCACTACAAGAGATCTAAAACTCTGCAGGGAACATTTAATATTATGGTTAACTCTTCCAAACACTCACATATTCTTTCCAATTATAGACAGAACCCTCCAAAATATATTTCAGTGCATCCATATGGCTAAGATCAGTTAAACTATCTGGTGCGAAATAAAAGTCAAGGCTTCAAGACAAAGTATCATTTTAAGAAAGAAATAATTTGAGGAAATACTTACCATCCTACTAAGGAGAAGGTTCCTGTGGCTCGTTTTACTGTTAAAATCACCACCTGTAAATCAGAGACAATTCATTACTGTATGGCTCATATCTATAAATAATGAAAACAAGGTATTAAAATGTGTAGTTGACACAGGCATTGCTTACTCTGTGCAATATTTTTGTTTTAACTAAAGTCCTGTGCAAACTTAGTGAGAAGTGCAATACAAATACAGTTCTGCCATCATTATAATCATAGGCTTAGAAATTACCGGGTTGACAAGACTACCATTTGTTCAAGCATGCCTTTTGTGTACGTGGGTGCAAGCATGTGTGTAATTATAGGAAGTGTAATAAAATGGAGTTTGCATACACTTCAGGCAACCGGAGAATCATAAACATAGGCATGTGCAATGTGCTAACAACTTAGACATCTACGGCATTTATGTACATAACATCCATAAGCTTCTGACCCACTTTAACATATCATAAAACACAGAGCGCTGTTAAAGGACAGCTGAGTGAAGTGACAAACTAGAACCTGACACGCTACATATTTTGAGCAAAGCAGCATCCAAGCTGAAGCTGACCTAGGAGAAACAAGAGCAGACGGAAAAAGAGTGAAGGAATGAGAAGAATTGTGTATTTGTCAGTCCTAAAAGCTTTGTAGAGAATGAAGGGGCCCTGCAGTAGTTATGCATGCAAAATGCAGCAGGACATGTCCGCACTATCAGCTGTGCAGCACTACTGTCACACATCTGTTTTCTCAGAGCCGTCTGACAACCTGCAATAGTGTCATGTCTCGCCCGGTATAGAACACAGGGATATCCATTTCAAAAACAGCCAGGAAATGTGTCTGCTTTTATTTTAATGTCTGGAAGTGAGTTTCAAAGTTTATATAGTAATTTGTTTTCGCAGCAACGTATAATTTGTGGAAGCACTTAAATTGCACAGACAGAAAAGAGACGCAGACATTTCTCCTCTGAAGCCTTTGACCATTTTATTACTGTTTTAATTACATTTGAATGATGGATCCCAATATGGAACTGCAAGGAGAGTTAAAAAGGCTCGGAGTCTGCACTTTGTTTCAGATTGTTTCATAAATAGTGCATGAGTCATCTTGCTTTTTGGGAAGATTCTAATGCTATTTTTGGGTATGGATTTCTTTTTTAGTAGTGATATGCAAGTTGCACAAACATCTGTATCAGTTACCCTCTGATTTTTATCCCTAATTAAGGCTGCAACTAATGATTATTCATCAGGGGTGTCATGATACAAAATATATGGATTCTTTGGTCCACAATAATATATATGTTGCTACTACAAAGTCTGCAACGAAACAATTTCTATTCAGTTCAGTGGCCTACGATCAAAGAGACAATATCAGTAAATACTTTTTCTTGGCTGCCTGGCTGAAGCCACTAGCACTGTTTGAATTTAAGGAAGGAGGTGCACTGGTACGGAAATGGTGACACAGACGTACATGGGAAATTCACAATAAAGGCGCATCGTTAAGATCACAACATGCATCAATGTTTTTTCCTTTGCATCAATGATAATGGATTCTTGATCACTGAATCGATTTATCTGGTCCAGATCAGTGTGTCCATGAATCGTTACATCCCCATTGTTTACCACTGATTAATCTGTTAATTATCTTCTGTGAAATGTTAGAAATAAAAAAGCTGTATGTTGTTTGTGTGACCAATTTTCCAAGATTTTCTGTTTATTATCACCGAGGACAAGGAAAAGCAGCAAGTCCTCATAATTTGGAGGCTGAAACAAGGAATTGTTTGGTATTTGTGTCAATAAAAATGACTTAAAAGATTAGTAGAGTTGTTCCGATACCAGTACCAGTATCGGAAATGCCTTTAGACACTGCCTAAAATGATGGATTGTGTATTGGCGAGTATACAAGTCTGTGCACCAAGCCGATATTACATAATTTAATCGTAAACTTTGAAGCAGTTTCACACCTATGTATTAATTAAAATGGCAGTTTATCCATAAATAAATTCTTCTTTGCCGCTTTAAATCAGTGAAGCACAAGTTGCGCTGTGCAGCCACTGTTTTAGAGGAGCAAAGAAGAATTAATATACCATAAAAAGTGTAACATTAGCCATTTGCAAAATATCAAATTAAAAAATAAAAGAAGGTTTCCTGGCATTTACTGTATGTATGTATGTATGTATGTTCTTGTTCATGTTTTACAAAAGGGTTTAACCTGAGCAATGCCATACAACAATAAAAGCAATTACTCCATATCCATATAGTGTTAGTAGTATACAGCTTTAATTTATTCTTTAACGCCATGGTATCAGATTGGTTGTTGACTGATTAATAAACTCATCATTTCAGTCTAATTCCTTAAAAATACGACAGTTTATCCAACAACCTAATATAGCACAATCCATCAATGTCCACTCACTCACTGAGCTGACCTGAATATCCCCAAATCCCAAATAGCACAAGAAAAAAGTATTAATCTTGGGCTGTCCAGTTATGAACATGATATACTTCCCCACTGAATCATTACTTAAATTTGTGACAACCTGTTGCTCACCTGATAAAAAAGAGGATGTTGCAGGCAACAAGAGTGCATGAATAGTGAGCTGGACGGGAGAACGATGGGGAATGGATGAATACTTTATATTTAGTTTTCATTAGAAGTGTGAGACCTAACTCAAACAGGTATAGCCGGCTTGGTCTATATGGACCATCTGAATCTGGGTTAATCAGACTGCGTTTGGGGCTGTGTGATCCATCACACTTGAAATCTGAGCGATTGCTTGACATTAAAGAAGAAATTTGAGCTCAAGGCAAGACAGCATTACTGCAGCATTCTTATTCAGGGCAAGAGAGTGGGTGACAACCTGGAGCCTAAAGCTGCTAGCATGCAAAGTTGCACCTACTCACATTAACACGTTCACTGCACCAGAGACATCACTGTGTCTTTAACTAATCTGCCCGTATGTCAGCCTTGACTCAGCGACAGGCTACAACTAATCCAAGCCGAGTATTTCCTTACAAGGTTATTGTGAAGATAAGGGAGCTGTCAACAAATAAACAAATTCTCAGGGTGTGGACTCAATGCCACAGCTACCTGTGAATTCAATGCAATGTAACTTGAATTTGTTAAGGTCACGATGTGCGATGAATGTGCTTGAGTCTTTGCCAGAGAAGTGCTGATTTAAGTCCTGGGTAGCTTCCAGTCTATAGTTGGTGTTATATTGAATGGCACTATTTGTTCTAAAGTGCTCCTGATTGTATGAATAAAATAACAGGAACAACTTGCGGTAAAAAGCCCTTAAATACAACAACATTATAAGCCTGTGCATTAAATCCATTTGGCTGATGCTTTATGATAAGGGCATTCAGCCTTCACTGGACGTCATCAACAAACTGTAAGTGCATCCTTTTTAAACAAAGAGTGTTTTCAGTGCAACAGCTCTGTTCCAGGTGGTTCCTGCCTGTGAAAAGGAAGTTTTTTCCTCACTGCTGTCACCAAGTGCTTCCTCAAAGGGGTACCTGTTGGATCTCTGTGAGTTAAAAAGCATGGTCTAGTCCTGCACTACATGAAAGGTGTCATAAGATAACTTTTGTTGTGACTGCTCTATTTAAATAAATGTGACTTGACTACATGTGCTTGGAGACATTAAAAGTAGCAATACGACACCATAATACAAGTTCTGCATCCAAAGTTTTCTGCAAAGTAAAAGTCCATAAGTATTTTCAACATAATACTGAACATACTGAAAGGGACAGCTCACTGTAAAATCCAAAATGCATTTTTGTTCTTACCTGTAGTGCTATTTATCAATCTAGATTGTTTTGATGAGAGCTGCCAAGGTCTGTAAAGGTCACTGTCTGTGGATTGTCTTGAGTAACCAGGTCATGATATCTGGAATAAAACACTGCATCTCTACAACTGATATTTTCAACACTCGGCAAGTCAACAAAACTATCTAGATTGAAAAATAGCACGACAGATAAGGGGGAAAAGTACGTATTTTTGATTTGGGGTGAACTGTGTCTTTAAAGTACCAAAAATAAGAGTACTCATTATGCATAAAGGTCCCTATCAGAGTTCTCCTATTACATCACTTGATCATTATTGTTGACGCACTAACATGGGAACATATGAGCTGCATTATATGCAGTAATGCTGGGAATTTTAGCCTGACAATGCACTGGATTTATAAAATGATTGTGGATTTTACTTGTAAAATCTTAGTTTGCAAAGTAACTATAGCTGTAAAATAATACTGTGGAGTAAAAAGTATACTTCCTTAAGACATTTATTGGAGGAAAGGTAAAAAATAGCTTACAGGAAATACTCAAGTAAACACAAGCATCACAAATGTGTACTCAAGTAAAGAACTTGAGTAAATATACATAGCTACACGTGCTACTGTTGTTGTTGTTGTTGTTGTGTTGCTCTCCCTCACATTCAGCAAACATCTGATCTAGAAAAACTGGTTCACTTATCATTTCAAGATAACAACCTCAAGTCCATTTTCAACATAGACACAATCAGAAAAAATGGCCCAACAGAGGACGTACGTCATGCCCCAGTTCGGGCAGTTCAACCTGCCTCAGGAGCTGCTTATTCGATTCTACGCTGCAATAATCCCGTTTGTTCTCAGCACGTCCATCACTGTTTGGATCAGCCACCAAACAGGACAGGAACAGACTGTAATGGATATTGTCGGCCTGCCCTCCATCCAGGACTTAGCCTATACATCTTTAGGGTCAGGAAACGGGCAGGTAGCATCACTGCAGACCCCTCATACCCTAGACATGAGCTGTTTCAGCTTCTCCCCTCTGGCAGGAGTTTCATAACACAGAAACGACCAGACACAAAAACAGTTTCTTCCTGCAGGCTATCACTCGGATAAACCTTAAACAGTCAAAACAATCCCTGTGCACTAATCCCATAATGCCAAGCACCTTCATTACCAGTAAACTATGTATTTCATTAAATAGTCACTGTTCTTTAACATGTTAAACAAGGACTTACACATATGGAAAGACTGATGAAGCTGTTAAAATACACTTGACATGACGTCATGATATCCAGGTGTGTGCAGCATAAAGAGGACAATCACTATTATGGTATTCTATTACTGGAAACCAGCTGTTTGTGTTCAGATTATCTGAACATGAAAAAAGTACAGAAATACTGATGGGTGTGTTTTATATAGATATGTACATTTATGTTAGAGGTTCAAAAAATGTATAAAAGGTAAAGGAAAGATTATATTCTAAATGAGGATAGTGAGAAAGTTTTTATTGCCATAGACCTTTCTGAGAAGTTCATTTTTTATCATTTTATTTTAAATGAAAGTAGGCAGCAGCATCACTGTATGTATTATTCCAGCACCATTTGCAGGGTGCACCAGTGCACTACTGTATTACTATTTACAAATGTCATGGTGTTGCTTATAAACAGATAGATAGATAGATAGATAGATAGACAGATGTACTAACATTGGCTTACATAGTCAGATTCCATGTATGTGTACACATACTGTACTTGGCCATTAAATATAGCTTTGATACTGCTTCTGAAACTGTGAATATGCATATTATCCTGATAAAACTTTTTACGCCAACATGTCTGAGGCTCACTCTAAAACAATGTTACTACACATTGTTTCATGAAGTACGTGACAACAACTTACAAGACATAAAACTGGTCATACTCAAGTCAGTTAGCTTGTTAGACACAACTTAGTAACGTTATGTTAACTCTACGTGCAAGACAGCTAGTAATACTAACGTCAGTTTTTCGGGCTGATTTAATTAGTTGACATATATTAGCTAACATTAAACATGCTAATTAAGACAGTTAGTATATTTGATGACTGACAGCTCAGTTGCACCGCTACAGTTTGGCACTGGGGACTATTCGAGCGTCAGACATCCATTCATCAACTTACCAATCGATAAACAATCAAGTCGAGTAAATAATTACCAGCATAAGCTAGCAGTGAAACGTTATGTAGCTAACTAGCTAATTAGCTTTTAAAAAACAGAAGCTAAAACAGAGTTTAACAGTTACGTTAGCTACTTACGCATCGATAGTCCTCTGAATCTGTATTAAAAAATACGCAGCGTGAGTCGTTACTCGTTAACATTGGGCTTTGACTGTTCATTTTGAGCCACAATGATATAATTTAGCTTCAATTTGTTTTTGTTTTGCTGGAGCTTTTTGTGCATTTCCTGTTTCTACGGTGCGCACGAAAGGACAAAAAAGCACCGTTGGCGGTTCTGAGGCAAATGTCGAAGGGCCAGATTCGTTCAGACTTTGACTCGTTATTAAAACTCGCGTTGTAACGTATCGTTGTTGTTTTGATTCTCTTGTATTTCAGTGTAATACAGAGGGAACCTACCCTCACACATTTTTTTACGATATTTTAGGTGGATTCCAACATAGCAGTTCAGTTCATTTCAGTAGTGAAACTAAATTAAGTGACTCAACCATAAATAAATAACGTGGAACTTTCTGTTTGATGGCTTCACACATCATCATACCACTACCTTTTGCAATAGCCTCATTCCCACTACAAACCAGAGTCTCTCTAAGTATATAGGCTACAGTATATATGTATATAAGTATTTAATAAGTTACTGCATATATCTTTTTATTTTATTTCATCCTATTCTATTTTTCTTATTAAAATATTTGCATTAATGTTATGTGTTTGTAGTGTGAAGGGGCTACAACTTGTATTTCATTGTGCAACCTTGTGTTTTAAAATGGCCAATAACTGAACCTTGTAACCCTGCAAATATTGTGCTTTTTATGGCATTTTTACTTTATAGCATGTACATTTTTTTGCACCTTTATTCCACTGCATCTCGTAGGATACTGCACCTTTTGCTCCAATACTTTCTGACAGCTTAAGTTACTTTACAGATTGAATATTTACATACAAAGCACGTGTAGCGCCTATAAAATATGATGTATTTCTGCAGATTAAACTACTAAAACCTAGCTTCCATTTCTCACTTCTCAATGAATCAGTAATACTTTTATTAATGTTGCTGTGAATTACTGACACTTATTTAGGCTAAGTAAGACTTTGCATCTATGATTTTTAATTGTAATGTAATATTTTTTTTACTGTAGTACTTTTGCTTTGGTAAAGGATCTTGTCAGAAGCTCTGTTTACACCGTAATGAGGATATTATCATTAGAAACCCTAACAAAAGGCCTCATGGTAGCCTCAGGACAACCTTCTGTATCCTCCTTGGTAGCTCACCTGCAGTGTTTTGAGATCGACGCTACACTTGGCACAGTAAAGGCGCTGCAGTTCACTGATAGCCTCTGGCATTTACCTTTAGGCTAATGATAATGTTATCTCAGTGGGTGTTTTTAGAAACCAGCAACCCCATTCAGTCAAATGCAGAAAGACATGTTACCTTTGCCCTGAATGTGGACAGACAGCGGCGGCTGCATTTCCGGTAAACATTGTGAATCACAGAAAGAATGTTGAAGGTGTGCCTCTTTGAAGATGTTTGAGAAGCATTGCTCAATTTATAAGACTTTGTCGGATCTCTAACTGACTTTGAGAGTTTCAAGTTTCTCAGAAAAGAGATAGACAAGACGATATCAAAGGGGAATAACACCTAAGAATTTGAATGCATGTTTCCGTGGCTGAGAAGAGTTCAATCAATATTTGTAAAACATCAGCTAATCTCTCTCAAAGCCAGAAACTAAAGATGTAAGTCTCAAACTTGTGATGTCATAGGGTATAAAGTCTGGAGCTGCTCCATAGAGACCCACATGTTGACCCACAGAATGTTTGTTTTCTTTTTTATAACCAAATGAGTTTAATTTTATGGCAGTGTTCTCATTTATGAAACAGAAAATGTTCCTATATATACCCTAGAACAGGGGTGTCAAACTCATTTTAGTTCATGGGCCACATCTCACCGATTTGATCACAGGTGGGCCAGACTGGTAAAACCGTTGCATAATATCCTATAAATATGAAACACCTCCAGATTTTTTGCGTTTTTTGTTTTAAAAAAGTTCATTTTAATATGCTTATCCATTTACAAAAGAAATGACAAACAGCCTGTGATGTCTTAGAAGAATAAACAGGATTTCGACAATATTTCTCAGTTTTTCCACATTCAGTCAGTCGACTACTCACTGTCATTACACATGCATTTTTCTTTACATTTCCTCTCCTGTGTAATAATCCTGACATCACCACACCAAACTAAAGTTAAAAAACTGTATTCTGGTCGGGGTGGAAAACCCTCTGAAGCAGCATTTTACATGAATTTGGCCATCATAAGTGCATCACTATTAGGTGCACAAGGTCCTCCAGTGAGCTGGATTGGACCCTTTGACGGGCTGGTTCTGGTCCCCAGGCTGTATGTGGTTGCTAGGCTGGCACCCAAACTGAAAATATGGTGCCCATTTTTAGTCACCTCACATTTTGGATAATTAAGATACTGTGCAGTTAAATGTCGGCTTCACAATGAAAACGTTACATAAAGAGTGATTTAAAGCCTTGTTACAATAACCAAACAAAGTACTTTGTAGTTTGTGTTTTATCTGATTGTGTTATTTACCTCAGGTTAACCTAGTTCTTTGTCAGTTGGATCAATCTGCCCATTCATTTGTGATGTTGGCGGGTTAGTCAAGCTTTGACTAGAAGCAGATGCCTGTGTACACTCAGGTAAACATACCAGCATACATGCAGCATTGTCTGGTTCTGGTTAGACGATATTAGCACTCAAGTGTCTGTAGCCAATAATGCTCTTTGCACCCACGCTGAAAACAGTGAATGTGGCCATTTACACCTGAGTGTATATATTCCTGAGCGTCCTTGCAATGTCAACATATAACGTTACCAAGGTAAGCATCTATTCAGCTAAAGTATATGTACACAATGTGCATTCAGCAGGTTTATACATCAGAAAAAATAATGAAAATAATGAATTAACTAAGTCTGAAACGAATAAGCCTGCAAGGACTCAGTCTACCATATGAAAGCCCTGTGCTTGACTCATCTATCCACCACATCATCTTCCCTACATTATCTTTGTTGCAGTTTATACTACATCATCTGACTTTCTGGTGGTAGATTTGTGAGTTTTTTGATGTCAACTTTATCACTTTCATCTCAGAAAACATCCAACATTGGCTGGTACTAGCACGAACCATGACCTCTGTTAAGGGAGAAGGACAAACAGAAGGAGAGGCTGAAACTCTCTTTCCACACAAAGCTTTATTTCCAGAGCTCAAACTGCAGTTTAACAAAGGGAAGAGCAAACACACAATGGGGTTTTGAATCTGAAACAAACAAATACAAAATCAGAACTTCCGTCAAATTAAACAACAGTCCATCTTAATAGCGATGAATAATGCTCAGTTAAACTAACCACACACAGGGTAAAATAAAGAGAAAGAAGAACCAGCACTGCCGCCCGAGTGATGATGAGGGAAGACTGAATGAAATGGGGTTCAGGGTTTAAATAAGGTGAGCAGGTGAACGTAATCAGGTTAATGAGTGAACAGAGAGTGAAAGGAACCAATCAGAGCTGAGGAAAGGGAAGGAAAGAAGTGTCACTACTGCTACTATCAATCAATCAATCAATCAATCAATCAATCAATCAATTTTATTTATAAACCCCAATATCACAAATCCCAATTTGGATCACAGGGCTTTACAGCATACAACATCCCTCTGTCCTTTGGACCCTCACAGCGGATAAGGAATAGGATTGGTCCGAGCACAGAACCTTGTGGAACTCCAAAACAAACTACAACCTCTTTATCCTAATTTAACCGCCACTGACTTTGACAGTCAATGTGACGAGTGCTAGCCAATCACAGCATGCAGTGGGATCCATAATATAGCACCATAGGGATGAGTGTATATACCTGAATAGCTGCAGTGTGACTTTTCTCACCCAGGTGCAAAATGACACACCAAATATTTAATTATCACTAATGCAACAAATATTAAAAAGGGAATGTGTTAGGGTGCAGGTGTGTTGTTTGCTGTCCCCATTTGTTATAGGGGCATTCAGGCCTGCAGAATGGATCCTATATCTTCGACACATGGAAATTACTTAAAGAAATCTTACATAATAGAATATATGATACCCAAATATTGGTGTTTTGGACGAAGCTGCATAATATCAGGCTTCATCTAGCGTCAACTATTTCCCACAGTGTGATGTTTCCACTGTGGCAAGCACATTTAAATCTATTTAAGTGACTTTCTATTTCCTCTGCCATTGTCTTTCCATTGGAAAGAGCTAAATAGACGTTTTTGCATGTGTGATCCGTATTGTCTGGAGGGTTTTATGCACAATTTGTGGGTGTGTGCGTGCGAGACCAAGAAGAGAATGAAAGTGGCAGTGGGTGTGTTGCACCCTATTGACCTATTGTGACACTGAAACTCCAGCTGCACCCTTCTTCCCTCGGTGGCCTTTGAGGCTGTCTCTGTCAGTTACTCAAACAACAATGAGGGAGATCTGTCACTTCTGTTTTTCCTCTCGCGAAGCATTACATAAGACGTGCAAACGGGTGTGCACACAAACACACACACATCTTTCTTCAAAATACAAGTGACTGATTCCGGCGCATATTTGAAATTGTCGTACCTGTCCTGTTTACTTTGTGGAGCTGATTAAAATCAAACAGAACATTTACACGTTCACAGTTTTATCCTGCAGTGCAGCTACTGCAGTGTAGGCTGGGAAATATTACCTGAACATGGTCAGATTGAGAGAAAAGAAAGCTAAAAATTGTTTTCTGGATGCATTCAGCATGGCCTCATACATGTGACATTATTGAACAAACCTTCGCTTCTCCTAGGGCTCTTTACTTTGAGAGTTCAGGTAGTTCAAGGTGTTGTCACTTGAAGTTTAATTGACAGGCGACATTCCTCTGCCTGCAGGTAATTTTAAATCCACTGCTCACCTTTAACACATTTAGCACGGCTGGTGGCTGAAGAGAAAATGTTTTGTAAGAGTGCAAATGATGGCATCTCCAACAAACTTTATTATTGTTTCACCTCATGAGATGTGCCACTGCAGATGCACACAATGCTGCAGTGTCATTCTCAATCAATATGGTTTAGTTTAAACACACAAAGAAGTCCAATTCTGAAACAAAATGTCTGGATGTTTTTGGTGAAGTAATTAAAACACCATCTTAACTACAAGTAAAACTCTTAAACAGCATCTAATTTACAAGAGGATGTAAAACAGTTGAGACTCTTTGCAGTGTTTGTATGCTGTCTTTAAACATCTGTTTTCTAAGCTGAGAAAGAACTGAGGACACTCCCAAGAGGAGATGCAGAAAATCCTGTTTAAGACTTGGTTCTTTTGCACTTATACTTTGTCTCGGCGGTTTCGAGTTTCTAAATTGTTACCCAAATCTCACGTTTCTTTCAGCAGTACAGTAAAGTGTCTGTCATCCTTTAACTTCAACTATATTTCATATACTTTATGGTCAGAAGACAAAGGCATAGGTGTCATTTAAACATTGGGGGGGGGGGGGGACATTGAACCAGGGGTTTGGAGTCTGCCCCCAGGAAATCTGAGGGTCAAACACTTGCTTTTCTGCATTCTGGTGAACTGCTATGCAACAGTTTTTGCAGTTACTGCATCAAGTTATGGTGAAAGAGTCTTTAATTTCCTCTGCAACTTTCATGCTTTTATTCTTCTAAATATTGGGGGTATGTGTCCCCTGCAACCCCCTGGAAATCTACACCAATGCCAGAGGAGGTTTTATACCTCACAAGATGTATAAGACCTGTAGTATGTCAGGTATTCCCTGTACTGAAACTGCACAGTGGAGCAAGGGCGTAGGTTTCATTTCAACATTGTGAGAGGACACATATGACACGAAGGGTTTGGGGGTCCTCTGCCAGAAAATTCTTAGCCTCAAACACTCAATTTCCTGCATTCTGGTGAATTTTTATGCATCAATTTAAAAGTCCTCTGCTGCTTTTATGTTTTTATCGAGGGGGACAAGTGCGCATGTTCTAAATATTGATGGGTATGTGCTCCCTGCAACCCCCCTGGAAATCTACACCAAGTTTTTAAGTTTTAACATCACAACATGTTCATTTCATGCACTTACCTGTAGAATCTCAGGTATTCCCTGTACTTTAACTGCACAGTCGAGCAAGGGTGTAAGTTTTGTTTCAACATTGTGGGGGGACACATACGCAACTGAGGGTTTGAGAGTCCTCTTTGAGCCTCAAGCACTTAATTTCCTGTATTCTGGTATTTTTTTTTTTTTTTTTTTTGCCATAATCTGTGCATTTATGCATCAATTTACGGTGTAAATGCCTGTAATTTGTCAAAATTAAAGTCCTCTGTTACTTTTATGTTTTAAATGCACATGTTCTAAATATTAAGGGGCATGTGTCTCCTGCATCCCCTCCGGAAATCTACACCATTGTCAGAAGAGGTTTTATACATCCTAAGAGAGGCCATACACTGACCTATTGTATTTCAAGTATTCCCTGTACTTACACTGCACATTGGAGCAAGGGTGTAGGTTTTGTTTCAACATTGTGAGGGGAAACGTATGAAACAGAAGGTCTGGGGGTCCTTTGCCAGAAAATGATGAGCCTTGAACACTTAATATCATGCATTCTGGTCAATGTTTTGCCTCAATCTGTGCATATTATGCATCAATTTATGGTGTAAATGTCTTTAACTTTAGCAAAATAAAAGTCATCTCCAACTTTTATGTTTTTTAATGCACGTTCTAAACATTGAGGGGCATGTGTCCCCTGCAACCCCCCTGGAAATCTACAACAATGTCAAAATATGTTTAATACATCACAAGAGGTAGAAGACATGCACTGGCCTATTATATCTCAGGTATTCCCTGTACTTACACTACACAGTGGAGCAAAAGGCGTAGGTTTCATTTCATTGTAGGGGGACACATATGAAACTGAGAGTTTGGGAGTCCTCTGCCAGAATAATTTAAGCCTCTAACACTAAATTTCCTGTATTCTGGTGATTTTCTTTGCTCTGATATGTGCATTTCATGCATCAATTTATGGTGTAAATGTCTTTAATTTTAGCAAAATAAAAGTCATGTGCTACTTTTATGTTTTTAATGCACATGTTCTAAATATTGAGGGGCATGTGCCGCTTGCAATCCTCCGAAATCTAAACCCATGCAGTGGAGAATAGGGATATGCAGAAACTTGTGAATTGGTTGTGGCCTATTTATCAAAAATAATGTGATCATCTGAATAGACCAAATTCAGTTTGTGCTGTCTGTGTTTTGTAATATGAAGCCCTTTAAAAAAAATCATACAATGCACAACAAATGAACTTTTATATAAAAGTTTATTTTTTTAGAAACAAATACCAGTACAAAAATGATGCAGAAGTTGAATACAAAAGCATTTGCTTATTTTGACAGATGGACACGTCCAGTATTACCATCGTAATAGCAAATTAATGACAATAACAACAAAGCGTGTTGTGAAAAACCCTCATTATTCTTTATGCATAAGCATTAACAGTCGATTCTGCTTCACTGGCCATGTAGGCCATTAGGAGATCACAGGCGGCTACAGTAAGCATCTGCCTCCATCCATGCAAGCACAATAAGAATCACCGTATATGCTGAGTATGCGGACACATACAAGGCATTTGACTCCGGTTTTTTACATTAAGACACAGACATAGACATGACAGCTGGGACAAAGGACAACAAAGCTGGACATATAATTTAAAGACACAGACACATCAGATCTGAATGGCACTGGTCATACAAAGACAAACACATCTGAACACACTAACATCATCAGCAACACAAGCAGGAAGCTAAATCTTTTGTCAGTATCCTCCTCCTCAGAGGGGCGGTTCAGACAGACAGGTCCTGTAGTTCATGCAGTCCACTTCCTCTCCAACTGCGAAATAACATTTCAAACTATACAGTGTGAGGTAATAAATACATTAAATAAAGGTTTTAAATATGTTTCATCTGCGTTATCACAGGAGCTGGATGCATGATGTGTACAAAACTTGTGGAGTGCAAAATAAGTTTGGCGTTAAGTACAAAAAATGCATTCATCAGGATCAACACATCTACAGTCAATAATACCAGTAAACAGTAACCAGTAACACCATGTGGGGCCTGAAGGGAGACACACGCTGCCTCTTTTTCTCTACCATTCAAATGTTGTCCACAAATGTCATCGGTAGTAACGGCAGCAGCAGAAAGGCCCACTGAGAAAAGTCAGTTCAACAAGTCCACTCCAGGAGAAAACAATCTGGGGTTTCAGTCTCTGAGGGCTCCGAGCTTATTGGCCCCATCCTCCGATGCCAAGCTCCTGTTTGTAGCGCTTGGTGAGGACGTTAGCCTGCTTTGTGAGCTTGGACAACACTCCTTGCAGCCCGGTAAGGTGGTACTGGAACTGCTTCTGCAAATCCTCCTCCTCTTCCTCTTCCTCGTCCTCCTCGGACAGTGATGATGATGATGATGATGATATGGAGGATGTTGTGGAGGCGGACGAGTTCATGCGCCTGATCTTCATGCTCTCTTTGCGCCTCTCGTCCGCTGCAGCGCACCTGACGCCCCACTCGATGTCCCTGCGGATGGACTTGAGGAGCTGGTAGTAACTGTACATGTCCCCCTCGTCCTCGTATGATTTCAGGGACTTGGTCATCTCACTGTCCTCCTCCAGCGGGACGTCCCGCAGCAGGCTGGGCACCATGACGGTCTGGTCCATGTTGTTAACGGCACCGATGAACCGGTTCATGGCGTTGAAGAGGGAGTTCCTCTGAGCTGTGGTTTCTGTGAGCTGCATCATCTTGGCGAGGCTTTGTGGAGATGAAATGAAAAGGTTTCTTGTTTCTCCTCTGTGAGTGCCCTGCTTTAATTCCGGGCTGATCGGCTTAGGGAAGCGTCTGCTTGCCGGGGATTGGCTGCGCTGTAAAATCAGGCGAGTTGAGTTTCGCCCCTTGATGAGTGTTTCAGCCCTTGTCTTGGTTCTTCTTTTCCTGGGAGCGGAGAGTGTGCGAATATATAGAGAGAGTGGTTTCGGGTTTAAAAAGGCGGTGCCACAACCTGTTTGTCAAGTTCTCCCACTGCAGATGTAACTGGATCCAAATGACCTGAAGTAGAACAGAGCAGAGCAGAGGTTTGGCATATTTCCTGCAAAAGGTGTGGCGTCATAATGACAGTTGGAGGTGAATCCACAGAAAGAAAGAAAAAACACACACATCCCCAGTGCGCTATCACTTTTAACCAGAATGCTCCCAAAGCTTCACCGTGTGTATTTACGCACTTGGCACCACTGTCTCATCCATAAGTTAACTTACCGTACAGTGTGTAGCTTCCTGTGAATCTGTCCTATAACTCGTCTTCCGGTGAAAGAAGTGACCGAAATTACATCATCACATCCCACATTCTGTTCCGATGACACGCAGGGTGAGGCCTGACCGAGCGGACCAGCGTGTGAATATTCATCACCCAAGCCATCAGCCCACTGCTCGGGTTAACAGTGCAGCCAATCAGACGGCTCTTTGGAGGCGGGAGAAGTCCATGTAGGACCAATGAGGAAGCCAGTGCTGGCTGACTGAGAGTCAGAAAACAGAAGCAACACGTGGTGAAGCACTAAAGCCTTTGATTTTCATTCACAGACTGACCGTCAGTGTGTCGCCTACAGCAGTGGAGGATGTGTTCTTACAGTCAAAGAACCTAGATTTGAAAATACTCTATCACAAGTAAAACATGTAAAAGTTCACAAGTATCAAAAGCAAAATGTACTTTTAGTATCAAAAGTAGAAGCACTCATTCTGCAGACACAATAGTCCCTGATATATAAAGTGACATAACTGGTATATTGTTAAACATGACATTATAAAATTGTTAATGTTAATGTTCAGTCCGATCTTGTCACATATTGACGCTCTACTTGCATATTTCACTTTGATGCCTGATACTGTATAAATACTGTACTTCTTACTACTCAACTAAATTCAGCTACTGTAGTGTTGCTAGTCACTTTGCATATTAAGAAACTCAAACATGTACAATAAGACTACCCAACCAACACATTCTCACTCCGACCTTGCCACATATCGACGTTTGGTCATTGACTTTCCACGTCCAGATACGGCCTTAAAGGTACCCTGGGTGTATTGGTTGTTGACATTCTGGGTCAAGTTCTGCCTGTTACATGCATTGTCTTCTTTCAAAATACACTTCAGTTTTCACAGGGAAATAAATGCACTATGGCAGTACAACACCGTGATTTCACATTTTCTTCCTTCAACAACAAACAAGGGGAAAAAAGAACAGGGTTTGGTTTAGAATCTTACAGGACACAAACACCGCTCTCTTGGGTGAAAGTCGGTGTTTGTTGGACCCATCCACTACCCCTCCTGCCCTAGTTGGAGTTTCGCCGGGGAAGGAGAGAAAAAACAAACTTGTATCTGAAAACTGTACCTAAAGGGTAAGTTTGGTGTTTTTCAACCTGGACCCCATTTTCCCACGTTTTTGTGTCTAAGTGACAAATGGGAACAAAAATTTTGAAATTGATCTGTTATTGAAGAAGAGTGCTGCAGCTAGCAGCAGGCTGCAATGTAACCACTCGGGGCATGTCCTCACTGTCAATGTGCGTCCACTAAAATTGCTTGTTTTTGCCACTGACAGCCTCAAATTATAATTAGAGATCAGAGACAGACCTTACTGATCCCTTTTGTTCAACCAGAAACAGCCCTGAAATTGCCATCACTGCTTCCACCAGACTCCATTTAAATAAACAGCATTTTTATCATGTATAGATCCAGCATATTTTCACATCTAACTGGGAGAATTAAAGGTTTATTTCAACCAAACTAGAGCTGGTGATTGTTGAAACAGTGGGAAGACAAACCTAGATGGCTTTTGTGAGTTTTAATTTGTTTCTGTCGACTTTGAATGAAGTGTGTTTTACAATGGCAAAATTACTCTTTATTTAAATGGAGTCTGGTGGGTTTGGCGATAATAATCAGGGAGCTGTTTTGGGTTAAACATAAAGGATCTTGAGGTCTGTCTCTGTAGGGATACTTTCCATAAATTGTCGAATAATTAAACTAATAATCTTACCCTGTTTGTGGCAAAATGAAGCAGTTTTAGTGGACGTAAGGAGACCAAATGCCCCGAGTGGTTACATTGCAGCGTGTTTTGGCAGTGCTCTTGCACAATACTGGACCAATTTCAAAAACTGTTGCCTCCATTTGTCACTTAGACACGAAAACAATGGAAAATAGGGTCGAGATTGAAGAATACCAAACATAACCTTTAAGTGCAGTAGTTGCGTAAATGTACTTATTTCACCATCTGACTAATTGTCCTCTATATAGTACAGTTTTAAGGATCCAGTGATACTCAGCACATCTAAGAGTAAGAGATGACCTATAACTGTGGTGACATAGTTAAGTAATTGGCGCCTCATCAATGGGTATGGCCAAAAAAGAATTCCCTGCTGTAATTTTCCAATTCCAACACAACTGCAGTGATACAATGGTGAATGAAAGTGTCATAAAAGTCCAAGTTCACTCTTCACTGGGTATCACATTCACACTTGCAGTCCCTGCAGATACATTCCAGGCCTGGTTATTTCCCTTCAGGGTAACTTTAGTCTAAGCCAGTTACAGTACTGACAAGCTTTTCAGATTACACTTAAAAACAAAATGTTGCACCAGCCAGTGTCCAGCAGTGACGACGGACACAGCTGATGTTCTCCTCACTCTTCTAACTATAACTGCTGGTAAACATGGGGGGACTTCCACACAGCCCCTGCAGCAGAAATAGCCAGTTGCTTCACATACTGTATGGGCACTCGTGGAAGTGCTCAGTCTGAAATCTGAGCTTTGGGTAAACACTTCTGGTCAGACTGAAACTATAGAAACATGTTTTCCACTGTGTAGCCATCAACAAAAAATAAATGTGCCGGCATGCTGGTAAAGCAAAACATGTCGGACTGATGTACTGAGTCGAGTTTAAAATAGATTCACACGACTTTCCCAGGAACGATATAAGAAAGGAGGGAGGGATTGGCGATCAGATTGATACTCCATGCCCAGACGGAAGTGTCCATGGGCACAGTTTGTTCTTGTTACTACTAACACTGAGTCACTGTTGAAGAATTGTTGCACAACAAGAATGGGGGGAATGTAACGTTGATGGCAAAACCTGCTGAATGAGTTTCTGTCTCTCTGTCTCTATCCCAACCCACTTCTGTCTCTTATTCATTTTTTCTAACTCTGCTGGTTCAACAACTCCCTGAAGCCAAGGGTGGAAGAACTATCCATATAAATTACTTAAGTAAAAGTACAACAATGTGAAAATGCTCCGTTATCAGTAAAGTTATGTCAGAATTACGTTCAAAATGCACTTAGAGAATCATCAGTAAACTATTTGCTGTGCAGGCAGAATCATATATTATATCATTGACTTATTAAAACTAATTCATTAACATGTAAGCTGTATTTTAATGTGGGAACTCAGCGATACTCAACTCGCTTTGCCCGGGGGCCACTTTTGCTAACAACAACAGGCCAGGGGCCAGTTAATGCGAAAACATTAATATTTATCAGTTTATATAATAAATGAATTGTCTGTTTTCGACCTTTCGACATTTGCTGTCCTCACTCATCTTTGCCAAGAGGCAAATGCACACACAGCAGCCACACACAGGTCAGATGTGCACGGGGGTGTTTCTAGGATTCGATAACATGCAGGGATTAGTCCAGATCTCTGTGGGAGGGTCTGGGGGATCCTCCCCTTGTCCTTTCTTTTTTTAGATATATAAACAAGCTCTATTTTGATGCTTTCTAAGAAGTACACTGGCACCTTGTTTACATTCAGAGTATCAAAAATACAATCCCAGTGTGAATCAACTTCTTTTCACTGCAAACTTGGGCCACATAGGGTCTGCAGGCCATAAACTGAGTATCACTGTCGTAGCTGGTCGAGGTGGAGCTAGTTTTGAGTATTTTATTACAGTGTTGGGTAGTCTTACTTTATATGTTTGAATTTCTAACAGCTATGCAAAATGACTAGCAATAATACAGTAGATGAATTTAGTGGAGTAAATGTAGTGGAGTTAAAATATAAAGTATCAAGCATCAAAGTTAAATATGCAAGTAAAGTAGAGCTACCCCAATAGTACTAAAATACAAAACTTAAGTGTGCTTAGTTACTCTGGTGTAACAGCGCAAACTCTTAACTTTAGTAAAAGCAGGAGTACTTCAATGTAAAAATGCTTCATTACAAGCATAATCCATTCAAAATTTTAGCATTAAAAGCACTTAAAATAAGAGCATTACATTATATTCTTTGATTCTTATTATTAGTGATGCATAAATATGTAAACAGCAACCTTATATTGCACATAATCAAGGCGGAGTCAGCTATAGAGATGTCTGCCTTCTTTCGATTATAATATAACTAGATGGCACTTGGCTTGTGGTGCTCAAAGCTCCATAAAACAAATAAAATTAAATAAAATTAAATTAAATTAAATTAAATTAAATTAAATTAAATTAAAGATTCTTTATTCACTTATTTATTTAAAGCCTCAGAAAACACATTGAGGGAGAACTCTTGTTTTCAGTGGTGCAGAGGTACATACAATTTTTTTATTTATTTATTTTTTTAATATACTTTATTAATCCCCAAGGGGAAATTCAGTTTTACACTCTGTTGTCAATTACACACAGGTCCGAACACACACATGCACAAACTGGACCTATACATGCGCTAAGTGGA